AACCCATAACTAGTTAGAAATATTCAAATACGGGATCTGCTTTAAAATAAAAATATATAATTATATATTTAAAAAAAAGGGAAGTTGCAAGTCTCTTTTCTCCCATTCTGTTCTGAAGGTACTGAAGTCCTTTATGCTTTTTCTGGGGTGGGGTGGCTATGGCATAGATGCGCCCTAACAGTGAATAAACACATCACTGAAATATGATGCAAAAAGATTGCAACGGGATATAGATAGGCTAGGGGAGTGGGCGAGTAGGTGGCAGATGGAATTTAATGTGGGGAAGTGTGCAGTTATTCACCTAGGTAGCAAAAATAGAAAAACAGATCATTTTCTAGAGCGGGAGAGATTAGATAGTGTTAGTGTTCAGAGGGATTTGGGTGTCCTTGTACACCAGTCTCAAAAAGTTAGTTTGCAGGTTCAGCAGCAACTAGGAAGGCGAACGGCATGTTAGTGTTCATTGCAAAAGGTTTAGAGTACAAGAGTAGGGAAGTCTTGATGCAACTCTATAGGGCCTTGGTGAGACCGCACCGAGAGTACTGTGTGCAGTTTTGGTCTCCTTATTTAAAAAAGGACATACTTGCCCTAGAAGGGGTGCAGCGTAGATTCACTCGGTTAGTTCCCGGGATGAGGGGACTGACCTATGAGGATAGGCTGAATAAACTGGGGCTGTATTCTCTAGAGTACAGAAGAATTAGGGGAGATCTTATTGAAACTTATAAGGTTCTTAAAGGGCTGATGAAGTAGACACTGAGGGACTGTTTCTCCTGGTAGGAGAATCTATAACCAGTGGTCACAGTCTTAAAATTAAGAGTCAGCCTTTTAGAACAGAGTTGAGGAAACATTTCTTCACTCAAAGTGTATTGAATTTATGGAATTCACTTCCCCAGAAGGCTGTAGATGCTCAGTCCTTGAACACCTTCAAGGCTGAGACAGATAGATTTTAAAAAATAGAGGGATTAGGGGATATGGGGAATAGGCAGGTAATTAGAGTTAGGTCAGAAGATCAGCCATGATCTTATCGAATGGCGGGGCAGGCTCAAGGGGCCGAATGGTCTACTCCTGCTCCTAATTCTTATGTTCTTAGAAGGGCAGTGGAGGCAGGGCGGGGGAGAAATCGCTTCTTAGCTCTATCCTAATTTCACCCATTGTCTACATATGCACACATCCAACAAAGGTCTTTGGATACCAACCAGGAAACCTGGTTGATTTTTGCCTAAGCTCCCTGGGGTATATACACAAGTCAGCCGGAGTGCTGACGTGGCATAGATCAGCCAACTCAGTAAAGGATTCATACTTGGGATCTTCCCTCAGATCAGCTCATCTACTTGCTGAAACATCAGGAATACATTTTATCTTTAAGATTAAGCATGATTCAAAAGTTGCAAACATATTCTCGGAATCATCAACAAGTTAACTTCTGCCAATATTTGGTGACATCTTGATTTAGATGGAAGTACAAATGTTCTAACTTAACCACATAACTTTGCTTTCAAAAAATGTTTTGCAATGATTAATTTGGGACTAGTTTATCAGAAGTGTATTCAATAAGACTTCCATGGCTAAATGTGGGGATGTTCCCTAGTTTTAAACCAAGAAAGGCATTTTGCGGGGGAAACAATATAATAATAAATAATAATCCTTGCATTTGATATAGCGCTTTTCACATTTTCTAGATGTGAATATACTGTAAAGTGAATTGACTGTATAATTGTGGGCAAAACGCGGCAGCCAATTGCGCACAGCAGTCGTGCACAAACAGTCGTAGAGTTGACGTGACCAATTTAACTTTTTTTTCTTGAGGGATTATTATTAGGCGTGTGGAGTAAAGAAACCTGCCGGGGATCGAACACAGGTCTCTTGCTTGCAAGGTGAGCGCTCTAACCACTGAGCTCCGGAACTCCCATTATTTATTTGTTAATATCATTAACAACTAAATGATGGCTTTCATAAAACCCAGAATTGAGTCAGCGTCTCCTATTAGATTCAAGCCTGAGCTAAGGTAACTTCATCTGAATATGAATGGAAACCCCTGCTCTAGAAATATTCAACTGTGCATTACAATCAATCCTACCATTATCTGACACCGACGTTCCACACAGGTTCCTGGGTGTAGCTCTGGAATGTAACCTTGCTTGATTCTCTCTTCCATTGCCCAGGGGCGTTGGGGCTTATTATAGCACAACTGCTGGCAAATACCTCTATTATTTAATTACACTGGATAATTATTTTAAGCACCCATCATGGAGTTAAATTCTTTGTATTTTTCTCACCCCTCCCCACCGAAACTAATTCATATTGGTCGACAGGTACCAATCTCTGACTGATATATTTCTCAAATGTGTCTACACTAATGTCGGCATCACTCCACCTGCCCAAATTGGAGTGCAGAGGTCAATTGTAGTTTCCCTACCATTAATCTACTGAGATCAACTAACTAAGCACAGATAGCCTCAAATCTGAGCACTTCTGCTCTGCATGGTTGCATTATGCACTTGTTTTTATAAAATTGCATCTTGAAAAGTTCCAGAAATATTTTAATTCTGCAGGGCTTCCCATCCTTCTTCAGGTATGTAACCAATTAAAGTAAAGTTCAAAATTGGGGTTTAGTGTTCCTCCCCATTCCCCTATATTCCTCAGAGAATCAATTGTTGAGAATCAATTAGAAGCACTCTGACCTCTGAGTCAAAACATGTAGGTTCAACAACCGCATCTGAACTTTGAGCTGAGTCGAGGCTGATAATCCAGTGCAACTCTGTGGGAACACTGCATTGTCGGACTTACTGTCCTTCAGGTATGATTTGAAACCAAGGACTCGCTGCCAGTTCAGGTGTATAAATATCCTAAGGTACTCATCAGAGTTATAAGGGAGTTTCTTCTAGTGTCGAGAGCAACACTTCATGACTGTTTGTGGAATATTACTTACGCAAATTGGCTACTACCTTATAAAGTCACTACATTCTTCACAAAATCCGGTGAAGCAACTTGAGATGTTGCAATGACGTGAGAAGATGCAAGGATTATTATTTTTCCATTCTTCTTGCAAAACATTTCCACTTTATGCTTAAAATGGGCAAGCATATCTGCAAAAGCTATTGCTTTAAATAAGGAAAAGCTTGCGAAGGCAGCTGAGTTAGAGGTACTCAAGTCCCCTTATTATTGCAGAAATATATACAATACTTGTATAGGGGAGGATGGAAACAAACATACAGCATATTTCATAATGCACTTGTCAGCTTCAGGAAAAATCTAAACTTAAGTAGCAAGTTTATCATGGGGCACATTGCCAGTGCTGGATAAATATATCCAATCTAACAGCATATTTGCAAGCCCTGGAAAATTAATTTCTTGTACTTTCACTTGAGAATTTTAATGCTGTGTCTGAAAATTAACTCAGGCTAATCTATTACAAAAAAACAACCTTCCAAGAGTCATGAGTCGGTGTTAATCCTCAGAAATGCCAACAAAGGATTGTAATTCTCTTCGAGCAGTCACATGATCCCATTAGCAGCACTCAATCCACACCAGGACGTTGTAAACCTTCATTGCACAATGAATTTTCACATTCTCTTAGAAATAAACCTATTCACGATACCAAGAACAGCCAACCATACAGGAGTTCAAGGCTGGGACCTGCTATTGTGATTCACATGACATTTAGCACTTAAACTACCCTTTTACCATTGAAATGTACCCACAGGTACTTTCTGACTCTATCTGACTTCCACGAGGTACATTTTCTCTCTGGAATTTCAAATTACTACTCTGTAAAGTACACACTCACTGACCAGAACATGCAATTTCGGTCAGGGTGATCGAAGGCACAGTCGAAGAGGAGGGGCTTGAGATGGGTCTTGAAGGAGGCAAGGGAGGGGCAAGGCGGAGGGACTACTGAATGGAGTTCCAGAGGTTGGGGGCAGAGTGGCAGAAGGTCCGCCCGCAATAGTGGGCATATAACATACCTGCATGAACCCCGCTTTGGAGGTTGTTCCTTGCAGGAACTCACGACAAACTACCACAGAACCCCATGTACATCTGATATCCACCCTTAACCATCTATTGCTCCACACACATTCTCCACATCCTTTCCCGATCGCAATCTAAGACCGGGCGGTGCAACATTTTGGCTGCTGAGGGACAGATAACTGGATTGCATGGGCCACACATAAACAATATGTCTGCATTTCCCTTCCAGAAACATTACCCATAGGAGTCATATAGATTCATATCTTAAAAAAAACAATAATTTACTCGGCGAAAGAAGACCGAGGTCCATCTATTTCGCCTTCCACCATCCTGGCACTCGCATGTCGTGTCCCGAAGTATACACTGCATCCCGAGGCACTAATTCCTAACAGAGATCCATCCGATGCATTCTTCGAAAGAATCTATCTCATGATAAGATGACAGCCGTATGTGATGGCGTGCGCCCGCGGATCGGTGCGTTGAAGGAGATTAAGTCGTCCACCCCTCCGCCTTTGCATATCATGCAACCAGAAGCTCATTGATCGAAATGCACAGTGTAATAATAAGGATTATTATTATTATTATTATTAATCAACAGAAGTGGACGCGTATTTTATGCAACTGAAAATGATCTGCAACTCCTGCCCGGGGAGCCAAGGATTTCTGGCTACGGCCAGTGGGGGGGGGGGGGGGTAGAGCATAAAATTTGCAAATGGCAGGAGGGTTCACTCCCCACATCTCCCCCCCCCCACCCCCTCGCTGTGTGGCCTGGCCGGATGGCAAGGCGCCTGGGCTTTGGCAGGTGAGCGACAGTAGAGGCCCAGTGGCTCCCTCTGCACCTGTCACTCGGGAGTCTGGGAGCGAGTCAGAGAGAGAGAGAGAGGGGCCGCGGTGCAGCTCTTCGCCTCATGAAGACCCCCTTCGAGGATTTTTTTTTTTTTTTTGAGTCCCACGAAACGGTCAGAGGCCGACCCCTGGGGTGTTAAGGGACCGGTCTCGGCGGGGCGGCGGTTGTTGTCAGCCCCGACACTCACCGTTACCGCAGCGCGACCGGCAGCAGCCACTCCAGCGTCCGCCTCCAGCCGAAAGATGGCGGCCGTGTGGAGGGCGTACGGGCCTCTCTGCGCGTGCGTGGCCCGCGCGGCGCCTTCTGGGACCTGCGGTTTTTTTCAAAGGGGGCCGGCGGGGTCGGACCGCTGCGCCCGGGGCCCGGCTCGTGACCCGTCGGACTACAATGCCCGGCGTGCCTCGCGGCGCGCCTGCCACTCGCCTCCTCGCCCTGTCCTGCCGAGCGCGGCGCACGCCGGGAAGTGTAGTTCTGAGCCCCAGCAACCCAAGGACCTGAGCATCAATGCACACTTCATGCATGACACAGGGAATGTGGGACCAGCCCAGCAATGCACCAAAATGGACTGCAAGCCAAACACATACACACACAACACACACAACACACACAACACACAACACAAACCCCTTTCTGGGGACTTGCGGATCGCTTTCCGGGGGTTAACCCTCCTGCCACTCTTCCCCTCCTGCCACTCCTTTGCCCCCATTTCTCCCTCCTCACTCTCGACCGCAAGCACGGACGTGAAATTCACCGCCTGCTGCCTCACCCCCCCCCCCCCCTCCCCAGCCAGCTGCTGGTCACTCAACCCCCCCCCCCCCCCCCCCACTCCTCTCCCCATTGCTGGCCGACACGGTCAACCAGTCTCTCTCAACTCAGATTCTGTTCCACTCCCCCTGAAAACCGCTGTTATCACATCCCTCCTCAAAAAATCCACCCTCGATCCCGCTAATCTCTCACATTATCATCCCATCTCCAACCTACCCTTCCTTGCTAAAGTCCTGGAACGCATGTTGCAGGTCAACTTTGGTCACGCCTCTCCCCCCATTCCCTCCTCAAGCCCCTGCAGTCCGGTTTTCGCTCTGCCCACAGCCCAAAGACAGCGCTTGTCAAAGTCATAAACAACATCTTCTCTATCTGTGACGAGGGCTCCCTCTGCCTCCTCATCCTCATGGATCTCTCTGCCGCGTTCGACAGTCGACCATGCCATCCTCCTCCATTGGCTCTCCTCCCTCATCTACATTAGTGGGATCGCACTCGCATGGTTTGAGTCCTACTTAAATAACCATCTCCATTTCATCTTAGCAAATGGTTTCTCCTCCTGTTCCCACCGGGTCACCTGCGGGGTATCCCAGGGCTCCATCCTTGGCCCTCTTCTTTTCCTTATCTATGTGCTCCCTCTGGGCGATGTCATTCGCAAACACGGGGTAAACTTTCACATGTATGCGGATGACACACAAATCTATTTAGTGTCCTCCAGTACCAACTCCAATTCCGCTGATGTTCTATCAGCTTGTCTGGCAGACATCAGGACCTGGATGAGTGCAAACTTCCTGCAGCTGAATGTGGACAGGATGGAAGCCATACTCCTTGGCTCCAGTCAACATCTTCACTCCTGTGGATCTAAACTCCTCAACTTCCCTAGGCTCTCCCTCAGACTCACCGAACCAGTGTTCAACCTAAGCATCCGGTTCGACCCCAAGCTGTCCTTTCTCCCCCACATTTGGTCCCTGACCAGAACTGCCTTCTTCCACGTCCGCCACATTGCCGCTGTGGACCATAATTTATCCCCAAACTTACCCTTACCCCAGTCAGTTCTGGCCAGGCTCCACTGGCTCCCCATCACTGAATAGATCGACTTCAAGATACTCACACTCGTGTTCAAATCCATACACTCCCTGGCACCTCCCTACCTCTCTGATCTCCTCACTCCCAAATCCAAACCCGGCGCCTCTGCTCGACTGGCATTGGCCTCCTGCTCGTCCCTCACACCCTCTGCACCACTATTGGAGGTCGTAATTTCAGCCACTAGGCCCCAAAACTCTGGAAGTCTCCATCTCAATCCCTCCGCCTTGCCCCCTCTCTTCATTCTTTCAAGTCCTGCCTGAAAACTTTCCTCTTCGACCGTGCTTACAGTCACCTCCTTCCCCCCGGCTTGGAGTCAGGCTCTGCCACTGAGATGCTATCCTGCATGGAGGGCACATTGTTGCTGTAATAATCCCTTCCAAAAAAAATTATTATAGTTTGGTCACTCAATCCACGACTGTTTGTGGGACACTGCTGTGTGCGATTGACTGCTGCGTTTCACCCACAAATGTACAGGCAATTCATTTTACAGTATATTCTTTGAAGTGCTTTGAGACATCTCAAAGACATAAGTCGCCATATCAAATACAAGGATTATTATTATTATTCGGGAGAATGCAGCAAAAAAAGAAGCCAGTGGATTTCCCCATTATAGGGAGAAATATATTCCTCAAATTCAGTTTTAATGAACTGTTGTTTCAGGTGGTGGGTTAATCGGATTTTACTCATAAAGCATAAGAGGTGCAACCGTGCCAAGTTTAGGTAGTTTTTTAATTTCATGATCACCCTGAAAATGTGCAAAATCTCTACTTTGTATGATAGAGCCTGAATAAACAGCTTTCTGATTCAATGATTTTGCAAAAAGTGTGAAATTCAGTGTTTTTACCATTTTAACTAAATCTTGTGAAGTGCTTTGAGATGTCCTCCAAGGTGACATGCACCTTAGTATGATTATAACATCCACAGTGTGTTATACATAGGAATGTTTTGCCTCTGTGAAACTATACAATATTATTAATAATAATAATCCTTACATTTGGTGCAGCGCCTTTCACGTCAGGAGGACCTCCCACAGAGGACAGCACAGGATATACTACAAAGTGGTATGTGGTCAAATGTGACAGGAAATTGCACACAGCAATGTCCCACAAATAGCCATGAATTGAATGAACAATTTTATTTGGGGGAATGTTGGCCGATAAGTACATAAGAAAATTCCCTTTTCTTTTCGAGTAGTGCCATGGGATCTTTAATTATCTAATTGACAGCATCTCCAACAATGCAGCATATCCCCAGCATGGCATTGGAGTGTCAGTTTAGACAATATGAGTTCCAAGTCTCAACGTAGTGCTTGAGCCCTCAACCTTCTGACTCGGAGGCGACAGTGCTACCAAGTGGGTCAGGCTAACACAGATGAAAGTCTTGTTGTTGAAAGTCTTATTACTCTATAAAGGTGGTTTGCCACATATTACATACAGGAGTGGCCCACAGATATATATATATATTGTGCACTATTCTTAGAAAATGTTCAATCATTTTGCAAAAAATGTGAAATTTAATCAGTTTACCATTCAAAATCAGTGCCACACATGGTGTAGCTCTTTTAATAGCTTTTTAACACAATACACAGTCACTACACAGTCACAGCACCACTTGTGAAGTGCTTTGAGATGCTCTCCCAACTGTTTACATAAACATAAATGAGAGTAGCCAATAGCCACAATCTTGAATAAGATTATGAGATAAATCAGTAATTGATGACACCAAGATACAAAGCTATGTTATATAACACATGGCTTTTAAGATTCTTGTCCTGACCTTAAATCTCTTATTGTATAATTTCTAATCCTCTCACTGCAACCGACCACAGCTAAATTGCTGATTTCTCCCCACCCCTTTCTCAGTTATTGTGTACACATACTGCCGAAAGACTTATAGTCTTGAATGGGATTTCATAACTCTCCCTGTGCAACTAACCTCCTCCTTACTCTAGTGGAGCCTCTCACATTGTTTTTGTACAGGGACACCACTGGTGTAAATACTGCTCACTGTGACAGAGTGATGGCTAATTATTTTGTTGCCATGTATCACATTGTAAAGTGATCGATTATTACATAACCATGATAAAACGATGAGTGTTATTACACAACCATACAAAAGGTTCAAGTCTAACATCCAAGCTTGAGCCGCTAATCGAGCATGTCCCTCCAGTGCAGTATTGATGACAATTCTATTGCTGCAACAATTAGCTAATGAGCCTTCCTAAAGCCATGACATTTCAAATTAACTCACTGTAAGAAGTGCTTTGACGTTATGGGATGGCAAGGTGGAGGATGTCAGTTTAGCTCAGTTGGTAACGTATTTGGCTGTGGGTTAGAAGGTTGTGTCCTTGACAATAGTCGTTCAACAAACTACTGGAAGGGAGGGGGGGGAAGAGGGCTACGTTATCACAAGTTTAAACTTGTCATGAGAGTTTAAACTGAGCTCCTGTCTGCCTCAATGATCCCATGATACTATCCGGAAAGGAATGAGAATTTCTCCAGGGGTCCTGGCAAATAAACCTCCAAATAAATTGGACATTCACTTCACTGGCTATTTGTTGCCTGTACACTGGCTACCTACAAATGCAGCATAATAACAATTATACTTATATATAGAGCCTTCTATGGTGGAAGGAAGTTCAAAGTTTACAGTGCTGGCAGACCACACAAATCGGGGTGTGGGGATGGGGGGGGGGGGGGGGGGAGGGGGGTGGGAGCCGAAGAGAACGGGGAGAGAAACGATAAGCGAAAGCGCAGTCTAACTGTTACATCTTGAAATAGTTAACACATAGGAACATAGGGACAGGAGCAGACCATTCTGCCCCTCAAGCCTGTTCCGCCATTCTACAAGATCATGGCTGATCTGTACCTCAACTATTGTTCACTTATGATCTTAGATTACAATTACAATTCACATTTACACAATGCTTCTCATGTTGGAAGGACGTCTTAAATCACTTTCATAGCCGGCTGGGAGCCAGAGTTTTGTGTGTGGTGGGAGGAGGCACAATAATATCCTCACTCAAAAATCTAGACCCATCCAAGCATTTCACGAAAAAGCAATTATGAGTGGGTATCTCTGTTGCAAATCACCATTCCTAGGTCAGGAACACTGAGGTCATTTACATAACTCCTCGTGTTACCCCAGCTGGAACCAGTTAACCCAGCACAGAGAAGAATGAATAAATAAATAATACGCTTGCATTTGATAGAATGCACCACCACTTACATTCATGGCATGGAGTCCCATAGAGTAGTGATTAGGGCATTCCGCTCACAAGTGAGAGGACCCGGGTTTGATTCCCAAGGGGTGCGAAACCTCAGACAAGTTTCCTTACTCCACACGCCTCTGTTTACTGTAAGTAGGATTGTTAATAGATTGGCGGATCACTTTCTGGGGATAATAAACCCACCAGGAAAGCAGTTAACAGGATTCACACGCCTCTGTTTACCTAACAGTAAGCAGCAACCCGGTTGTTAGTTGATTGGCGAATCGCTTTTCCGGGAGTAATAATCCCTTCAAAATAAATTTAAAATTTGTCACTCAATGCACAACTGTTTGTGGGATTGCTGTGCGCAGTTGGTTGCTGCGTTTCGTCCACAAAATGTACAGTCACTCCACTTTACACTATATTCTGTGAAGCGCTTTGAGATGTCTTGAAGATGTGATAAGGCGCTATATCAAATACAAGGATTATTATTATTACATATTTCTGTAAAATGTAATGACTGTACATTTTGTAATTGCAGCCAATTTGCACAAAGCAATGTACCACATTGAGGAATTGTTGGCCAGGATACTGGGAAAAACTCCCTTCTCTTTTCAAATAGTGCCATGGGATCTGTAACAGCCGCCTGAACAGGCACGACCTGGGGTTTAATGTCTCATTTGATGGACGGCACTTCCAGGAATGTAGCACTTTCACAGCGCTGTGTCAGCTCAGACTATGTGAGCTCAAGGTCTTGACATGGGGCTTGTGCCCCAGAGTTGAGAGTGCTACCAACTAAGCCAGGCTGACAATCTCTAGTCCATACCCATGACTGGGCTTTACACTTGAACATTAGCTTGCCAACTGAGCTACTGGGGGGGGAGGGGGGAAGCTACAAAAAATAAACCAAAGCAAATAAAAAACCACTAAATCCAAACTTCCACAAACAAGTACATATGAATAATGCTTTTGGACAACTATATTTTTTTTGAAACAAAAAATGTGTGGTGATGGTTACCGCAGACAAGTACATAAAAAAAATTAAAAAAAGAGTACAGTACATCTAACGGACTGGAAATCCCCATCAAATGCCCCTGATATTGTTTGTTGGAGAAGGAGAGGCACACACACACCACAGAAGGGGTGTGGTTCACTGGTTAAAAGTCAGGCTCTGTGCAATCTTGGTGCAGTTTTGAAGTTGAAGCGCACACAGAACTCCTCGCAAGTATTCTATTCTCCAGAAAAAGATATTTAGAAAAATATCCAAACGTTTTTGCACAAGTTATTTGAGAGTCGATTGCTGGGTGTTTTTCTCACTATGGGTTCGAGTCAAGCCTTCTGGATTTGCCTTGTTTGGTTCCTGCCCCAGGTAAGAAAGAAAGAGCAAATTAGGCAGGGAACACTCCCTGCTGTAAATGAACGGTTAAAGATGATATGTTGCAGCCAGAGATTGCTCCCAAAACATCTTTCTTTTGCATGATCTTTGCCTGAAACTGATTACCTTTCTGAAACTGTAGAAAGCTACAGTTTGTGAAGAACCCAGCACGACTAAATCATTTCGCTCAATGTCTCTCACTGTGTTACTCTGTTGAAGGCTGAAGACAGTTTGAAGCCCACAATCCACTTTTGTTTGTTATAGCCTTGACGTATACATAATATATACTTTTTAAAAGGATAGTGAATTTTTCTGGTGTAGGCATGTGGAGGAATTGGGAGAGAGTACTTAACTTTTAGTAGAACCTCTTTTTAGGTTAACCAGGCGTTTCAAAGCACTTTACAGTAATTAGTGCATTTGGGCAGTAACTGTTTTTTGTATTTGCATAAAGTTGTATATATGTCTTGTTTTATTTTCAATTCTGGATAAGAGACAACAGCTGGAACCTCTGTGTATTCCATCCCATTTAAATAACATCGTGTTTAATAATCCTCGTACTTGATATAGTGCCTTATCATGTTGTTGAGATGCTTCAAAGCGTGTCACAGAATATACTGTAAAATGGAATGGCTGTGTATTTTGTGGGCAAAACATTACCCGTGAAACAGTCTACTTGATATCTGTCCTCAGGTATCACTTGCTGCAGTTTCCTGCCGAGCTGGGCAGGCAGCTGTGTGGGGTTAGTGTAGGGTGAAGTCCAGCATGAACCTGCTCGGAGTTTAAGACTAGTTGTGATTCGACGTTTCCTTTGCCAGCATTGGGATTGGGTAACAGACTCGGGGAATTCCAATGTGTGGATTTGGAAACAATCCTGGCTTGGCAGGAGCAATGAATGTGCACAATTCCAATAATAATGTACAGTAATTTGAGCTCCTCAGTCTGGGTGGGTGGATGGCTGGATGGGTGGGTGGGGTGGCTGGATGGATGGGTGGTCACAGCTCTGTGTAGTGCAGTATCCTTCTCTTTCAAGCCTTTCAGTTTCATTTGTAAAGATATTGGACCATTTTCCAGGAACTAATGACCTGAAGGGAAGTTCATTTAAAATGTGTTAGAATATTCCATTTGTCCTCCTTTAGTTTACAATTTGCATCCCTTTCTCCGAACTCTTGTTCTTCTTGTTAGTTCTGCTCTGCTAACTCGGGCTTGATCCATGCCCCCCACCCAACTTGTACTGTCATCTGCCACTAACCTCCAGAACTCCATACCTTATCCCCTCAGTCTTGTCCCTTCTCCACCTGTCTTCAAATCCTGCCTTACAGCCGTCCTGGTCAACCACACCTATGGTCACCTACTTTTCTCCACTCACTGCCCTCTGTTCAGTGACCATCCCTGCCACTGTAATGTGCTCCAAGATGTTATTCTACTGAAGGGTGCAATATAAATGCAAGTTGTTGTTGTCCCATGGATGGAGCTTGAGCTTAGCTTCTTGCATGAACCTAAGCCTTGTATTATAAGCCCTTGCATCACCCCCTCACTTTCCTCCTTCAAGGCTCGTCTCAAGATCTTTTTCTTGAACCATGTCTTTAGTCACCTTCCCACCCCTACCCCTCTTGACGCCAGCTTCCAGCTCAGGAGGAAACCCTTCACTGTCCAGCACCTTGGAACGTCCTCCCGACGTGAAAGGCGCTATATAAATGTGATTTGTTGTTGATGTTGTTGTACGAGGGACACAGTAGCTAAGCATGATTGTGACCCTTACTTGGAATCCAGGCTCCACCTGACATCACTGTTTAGTAATAAATAACAATAATCCTTGGATTTTATACAGTGATCATCACTGAGACATCTCAGAGCATAGGATTTTACTGTGAAGCATAGTCACTGTGTATTTCTTAGGCAAACTTGGTTGCCAAATTGTGCACAGCAATGTCCTTCACAGCCATGAAGTGAGTGACCAATTGTATCTGGGGGATCGTTGGCCAGGACACTCACTGGGAGAGACGAGGGTGAAAAGTGGTGAGGAGCAAGATCTTGATATTGCAGGATTTTCATTGTTAACTTTGTGCCTAGTTCAACACAGAGTGGGATTCAACCTCCTGACGTCTGGTCTGTATAGCTGAAGGCTACCCCACAGTGGCCTTGGCTTTACCCACTCGATCATCAGTGGACAAAAGCGAGTCTGTCTTTGTTTTAAGTACAAAGCACACACCACTGTACTTTGCAGTAAATCCTATGAAGCGCTTTGAGACATCTTCCCGACGTGAAACGTTGCTACTTCAGATGTAAGGATTATTATTTATTATTAACTATTAACCACACTTCAACACAGCTGTAGTTTGACTTGGTCTCAATCTGCTAATGAAGGGACTTTCCCAAGTAAATCTCCCGTCATCGTGAGCTGTGTTTAACAGACATCTTCAGTTAAATTTAAACAAAGGAAATGTACATTTCCTGTGAGAAAGAAATTTCCTGAAACCCCAACACCTCTCTTAAAGCTGCACAACTTCGGTTCTCTACCTGTCCCTTTCACTCAGCTGGCTCTGACCTTCAGCTTGTCCCTCTTCTCCTCCCCTCCACCATCATCATGCAGTGCTTTCATGCTCTTATGCTCCGAAACTCTGGAACTCCCTATCTCAATCCCTCCAGCTGGCTCTCTCTTTCCCCATCTTCAGATCACAATGACGGCCTTTCTCTTCACTCTAAGGCTTTCGTGGGGGGAAGGCTCAATAGAGTTAAGGAAATGACTCCATCCTTCCTTTCTCCGCCTCTCTGTCCCTGAGAGGAAGCACCCTAGATCCGAAATTCCACCTAGTCTTAGCCTGTAAGACTGTTCTATGGAAAATTTGTACTTTCAGTCTTAATTTGGAAAACAGTTGTTTTTTAAGAACCTCGCTTCAAATTAAACGCTAATTTACAATACAACAACAACAACTAAATTACATTTATAGAGCGCCTTTCACGTTGGGAGGACTTCCCAAAGCGCTGAAGTCAGGTGCTGGGGCCCGAGCATGGGGGAGGGGTGGTGTAGGGGTGAGGGAAGGCAGAGAGGTGAGAGGGAGACCAAAGGCATGATCGAAGAGGAGGGTCTTGAGACCGGCCTTGAAGGAGGCAAGGGAGGAAGCGAGGTGAAGGGACCGTGGGATGGAGTTCCGGAGTGTGGGGGCAGAGAGGCTGAAAGCCCGGCCACCGATGGTAGGGCGGGTCGTGTGGGAGACAAGGAGCAGACCAGAGCCCGCCGAATGGAGGGAGAGGGTAGGTTGGTAGGGAGTCAGCGAGTCTTTCAGGCTAAGATTAGGTGGAATTTCAAGCGTCCAACTTCTGCTCAGAAGTGGGATGGAATCTGCTCTCATTGGATTTAATGTCCACCCGTTGTCCTTCCTGATTATTCAGATTTTTTTTCAAAAGGGCATTGTGGCCAAGGCTACAGGTGTAGTTCCCTTGAGTTATTGTGGTTCTCAGACAGTGTACTGTACCGTGCACAGTGGACTTGTGAGGTCTCTGAGTGGGAGGGAAACAGGCTGCTAATGTAAAATAATATCACTGGAGGTCAGGGGAATTTTCATAGGAAATACCCCAGCAAACCAACCGTTACAGGCTGAAAAGAAAGCGACCACACTCGGCAAACCTTCTGCCATATCACTTTGAGTTAAGCTAAATTTATTTCCCCCAAGCTGAACAGCAGCTAATAATAAACAAGAAGCTTACAGTAGCACAGACTCAGAGTCTATGTGTTTTAAAGGGGAATCAGTGCACGGAACACCTCAGGCCTCTGTACAAATGACTGCAATGTATCAAAGCAGTGGTGTGTCTTCCGACATGAAAGTTGCTCTATAAATGTCATTTGTTGTTGTTGCTGTCTACTGAGTACAGCACCGTAATCGTTGATAGTTTGTCAGCCTGGGCAACGGGCAAACACAGCCCCTCATGCCCTCGTTTGCACAGCCTGGTCTCTGTACCAACCTGTTTTGCCCTAACTTTAAGGTCATATCCTGGTGTGACCAATTGACCCAACAGGTGGGTCAATGGGAGTCAATGAGAAACTGTCCAGCCTGTATCCATATTAAACAAATTATCATGACGTTTTTGTAAAGATGTGTTTGTTCCTTCAGCTTTTTCTCTCTCCTCCGCACCTGAAGGAACCGACCAGTACTGGGGAATGCTGGGTCTCTCCTGTACATCGCCCAGTGTATTTATGTAAGAGTTTAAGTGGCTGTTCTTCATGCCTGAGTCTGGATGTTGAGTGTCAACAGTTATGTAACCATGGGGGAGGGTGGGAGGCAGCTTCCCAACTGACCTGACCCCACTCTCTGATATCCTCATGTGCACTTTACAGCAGTAGTCACATGTAAAGCTCCAAATAGCTTTTACAACACAACGCAGCACACAACAACATGACAGAGGAGCCGGTGCAGAGTGTGTCGAGGCAGTCAGGTGATAGGAACCAAGAAGAGGTAGTCTGCCACTGAAACATTCAGTAATAGGGAAGTGATTGTTTCTCTGTGAGAGAGCAACACTCATAGCGTTCATTTGGAAAACTTTGTACATTTTCAGGCTTGAGAATCTCACAATAGGGTAACCTCCAGTTTTCATACGTCCTGTCAAATAAGGGGAATTCTGATGATTCACAAGGGGTGGCGGGAGGAGGAGGGGAGAAGCAGGGTGCAGGGTGCTACATTGGTGGAGATGTGTCCTTCGGATGAGACATTGCACTGACTTCTCCCAACAATCCCCTGGATTAATTTTGGGGGTCAGCAGGATGTCTGGCACATGTGGAAACCGATCACCATGGCTAAGAGTATCCAAACCAGACTAAGAGTTCTACACATGAATGCCATCTACATGTACAAATCTCCCCGTGTCTGGAATGTCCCTGGAGGGAGGCATCCTACTTTCCTAATTTCCTGAGTATATTAGCCGCAGGTTGGCACAAGCCAAGGCTTGGGGACCCCAGAGTGTGTGTTTGGGTACTCCTGGAGTCTAACTAACTAAAACCACAAGGCTGAAAGCACTGTCTGGGAAGATTCCACCGTTAGAGCTTTGGCTCGCAGGGTTAACGGGAGCCAAGGGGTAAGAGTCCCTGTATCTCATTAACATTCACTTCATTTGAAATTATTCACTTTTGTGTGAAGATCTGCCAGACTGTCTTTAAGGTGAAAAGCATTATCTAACCATGTAATATTATCTTTACCCTCTCTGTATGTTTAAGGTGATATAAGGAGTCCTGTGAGTTTACAGGACGTTCCTGTCTGTTGGACATTCAGTCCTGACTTGTGCTTTTTCCCCAGCTCTATCAAGCCATGTCTGACAACCAGTGTGACAGTCTGACTCAGTTCCCAAAGCTCAACAAGTGCTGCTCCAAATGCCCACCCGGTGAGTGCTAACAAGGGCTGTTTACGGAGAGAAGGGTCTGGGTGCCTGTAGAATAATCTAATGCTGTAGTTATTACTGCTGGGAGTAAAGCCTTGTTTTCTATAAATTCTTAAAGAGCTAGATAAAAAGAAGCTTCACAATTAAGCAGAAGTTAAAAGTTATTGTTAAGAGTTTGCTAAATTCCTCATGCTGTGAACTGATTAGAAAATCGTGTAAATCAAAAGCCGGGTGGAATTTTTTACAAAGTTACTCCATGCTGTCACGGGGAGACTGGAGCGTTGATGTCTGGAAGCAAGAGATCCAGTGATGTATGCCCAAGTCAATTGACAACTCCATAGTCTTCCAGTCTTCCTGTAACAGCATCAAGCAGTTGGTGGAAATAAAAACAGAAGTCGCTGGGAACACTCAGCAGGTCAGGCATCATCAATAGAAAGAGGAAGATGAGTCAATATTTCAGGTCGCTGACCTTTTGTTTGAACTCTCCAGTCCCAGGTCTTTCTTCATGTGAGCTTCTCTTGCCGGCTTGTGAGGTGCAATACTGGCTTTCCTCAAACAATGGAGAAGAAAATTTCCTTTTCTGAAATCCTGAGGTCATGGAATCCCGTAGCATAGTGGTTAGTGCGCTTGCCTCACAAGTGAGAGGACCTGGGTTTGATTCCCAATCAGGGCAACACCTTAGGCATGTTTCCTTACTCCATGCGCCTCTGTTTACCGAGCAGTAAGTGGGAGCCCAGTTATTAGTCGATTGGCAGATCACTTTCCAGGGGTAATAAGCCTTCCAAAAAAAAATGTGGTCACTCAATCCACGACTGTTTGTGGGACACTCCTGTGCACAATTGGCTGCCGCGTTTCGCCACAAAATATACAGTCACTACAATTTACAGTAGATTCTGTGAAGTGCTTTGAGACATCTCAACAAAGGCTCTATATCAAATGTACGGATTATTATACTATTGTTATCGCGTGTTTCTTTTCTTTCTGTAGGACAATACACTGAAATCGAGTGCACTGCCAAAACGGATTCCAAATGCAGGCCTTGTGCCCATGGCTACTACCAATCAACATGGAGCCAGAACGAATGCCGGCGACACACGGTTTGCAATGAAAGTATGTCCTATTTGCTGCCCCACCCGATTGATCAGGACGCGATTATGGACGTGAGCAGTGTGACAGTCACAGTGTTTGACTTGCTCCCAGCAGCTGCTTGTGTTACAGGCTGCAGAAAGTCCAGATCTAAAATAATCATCATCTTAATAGTAATTCTTGCATTCGATAAAGAATCAAAACTCGATCTGTTTCTCGCGAGTGGCATGCGCATGTTCTTGTTGACTTCATGGATGATAAGATCATCCACGAACGAAGAGAATGGCGGAACATGATCAATAGGCTGAAAGGCCTACTCCTGTTCCTACGTTCCTATGTCCTTTTCAACTGTGTCTCGTCTTTCTATTCAGATGGAGGATTCATCACCAAGGTGCCTGGCACCAGCATCAATAACACAGTGTGCCAGTGCAAGCTGGGGAAGCATTGCCCGAACAAAGACTGCGAGATCTGTGAAAACAACAAGGTCTGCCATCTTGGATATGGGGTTGTGTTTAAAAAAGGTAAGGGGGCTAAACTGAATGACATTCCTTGCATTTGATACCATGCCTATCATGCCGTCACTTCTCATAGTGCTCCGCAGGCAATTGCCGCCAAGTGTAGCATACTTTAACTCAGCAATTTGTGCACAGCAATGACACATAGAAGGACCTCAAAACGAATTACCGGTTTATAATAATAATAATAATAATAAATAATAATCCTTGCGTTTGATATAGCACCTTATCACTTTTGTTGAGACATCTCAAAGCACTTCACAGAATATATTGTAAAGTAAATTGACTATATATTAAAGAAATTATGATCTTTTAGTTTTTTTTAGATAATAGGGTAGATATCACGACTTTGTGGTTACCCTGTATATAATATCCCTCGCTCCATGTCTCTCTATGGAAACCTTACTGCCCTCAGTTTTCCCTTTCTCAAGTACCCAAACTTGGTGTCACCAAACGACCACATCTCAATTTATTTAGTTAGTTTTTTTTTACCCTCTCCAAGCCTTGGATACTGCACCTGAGTTTCTCAGTAAACACAAGAATTTGGAATGCTCGTCTTTATTTGTTTTTTTAACCCGTTGATTGAATTCTTTAATTTCTCCAGAAGATGGAGCGGAGCTCATTTTGCCGGTGTGCGAGGAATGTCAACCTGGATATTTTTCGAACACATCGTCTGCGACGGATCCCTGCAGGAAATGGACCAAGTAAGTTTGGCGCTGCACAAAGTTACGTAGGATCCGTCAATAGAAAGCAGTATGACTTTGAAATGTCAGGGACTTTGAACTCACGTAGTCTAGTTTTACACTCCACTGCAGTGTTGGAGGTGTGTTGCATTGTTGGAGGTGCAATCCTTCAGATGAGAGATTAAATTGAAGTCCCATCTGCCTGTTCGGGTGGACATTAAAGATCCCAAGGCGCCATCCAAAAAGTGAAGAAAGTTTCTCTCTCCCAGTCTCCTGACCAACAATTCCCCAGATGAAGTTGGTCATTTATTTCATGGCTGTTTGTGGCACCCTGCAAAAGTAGCTGTGGTGTCACCTACAAGATACACATTCACTACATTTTATACTGAAACCTTAACAGTTCGCCCACAAAATACAGTCAATTCACTTTACAATATATCCCGTGAAGCACTTTGAGATATCTCAATGACGTGATAAGGCGCTATATCAAATGCAAGGATTATTATTATTAAAAGCTGTGAAGTGCTTTCAGATGTTTTGATGCTGATGATAAGGTGCAAAATCAAATTCAATGATTATTACTATTATGAATACACCAACAGTAGCGAGAAATAATTAGCAGCATTTCGTAGCAAAGTGCTTTACTGTAAATCCTGTATAGTGTAGTGATTGTTTTTGTATTAAAAAAACATGTGGGTAAAAACTTTTTACACCCAAGAATGTCTCACAAACAGCCAGGAGTGAAAGACCATATTATCTGGAGCGGTTTTCGTCAAACCGTGTCATGTGAATTTGTACTGTCCATCTGAACAGGCATTGGGATCTTGGTTCAATATCTTAACCAAAAGATCCTACAGTGCCCTACAGCACCTGCGCCACCTGCTGACCATGTACGAAATAGAACCGTAGCTTCTGTTGCCTGCTCTCCGAGCTGATGAGGTTTGGGGCAAGAATATTGGAGGGGAAGGAAGTAAACCAGAAACAAACGATAATAAAATAATGTCTGGTGTTTTTCTAGTTGCGGGTTGCTTCAAGTGCAAAACAATGGGACGCCCAGCAGGGATGTGATATGCAGTGAGTACCCGTCAGAACTTTCCTAATGTTTGTCTGGAGTGTCTGGAAAAGCGAGGAGCAGACACGAATCTTCCATACACGTTCTGTTCCACCTCCTATTAGAACACAGCAGATCTTATAAGATCATTTCCTCGCACTTTCTCCGTATCTCCTAATACCCTGTGTGTAAGATTCCAAAGGGGATTGAGGAAGTTAATCCAGACCATTACACCAAGGCAGCAGTACAAGAGGGCACAGGTTCAAGGCTGCAAAGAACAATTTAAGTCACCGTTAAGTGTTTCTTTACATAGTGGATGATTATCCACTAGAACGGTTGGTTGAGGTCAGGATGCTGGGCCCACATTGTTGCTGTGATGGGAGGATGACAGGTTGGGTGTTCTGGAAGGGTGAAATCAATGAGGCTAAACACCTTTTTCATGTGACTCACTGCTCATTCTTCATGTACGAGCCTGGAACATAGCTCAGTTTCACTATTCAGCTGCAACTGGGAAATACAGCCAAACCAACACAGGCAACACACCTCTCCTCACCCAATGTCACCCAATGCGCTAGTGGAGGAAGTGGAACAAGCCTGTCTGAATCTTTTCCCTGCCTTGCACTAGGAGGAGCTGAAGCCCATTGTAGCTCTGTATTCATGATTGAAGACAATCAGCTAAATCACCCCAGACAAAGTATCCATGTTGGGTTGTCCTCGACTGTGATTTACTTATCCTCTGAGCCTGTGTCTGGACATGGTGATGGTGAGAGAGGAGGGAAGAGGAGAGATTAGTTTACAATAATCATTTTGCTGTAATTTTATTTCTCCTCAGGTCCTCAAGAACATGACTCCAAGGGATTGATTCCTTGGGTTGTGGTGCTCAGCACTACGCTCCTTCTTGTCATGCTGGCTTTGACCTTCTACTTTGGCTGTAAACAAGGTAAGTTGTCCAGCGACTGCAACTCCTTGTTTTTCTCCTTCAATCTCCTTGCTTTTTTCCTTTCACCTCCCTCAACACTGACTGGCTGCAGTCTGGAAAAGGTCCACTATTGGAGGTCAGGCCTTTAGCATTTCTGTCCCAACCTTCTGGAACTCCATCCCGGAACACCTCCGTCTTGCCTCCTCCCTTGTCTTCTTCAAGGGCCATCTCAAGACCTTCCTCTTTGACCGCGCCTTTGATCATCTTCCCTCCTCCAGCCCCCTTGCCCTCCACCCATTTTGACTCCAGCCCCCAGCTTGGGTGCAACTGTTCAACCCTTTGGGGCGTCTCCAGACATGAAAGGCATTATATAAATGTAATATTGTTGTTGTTCTGTGGATAGGAAAAGATTGGCACAGAGGAGGGTGAGGAGGTTGAAGATGGGGAGTAGGTATAGTTGAAGAGGAGAAATGAGGAGGGAGGATAGGTGGAGGGAGGGTTGAGATGGAGAGAAGGAGGGAGGAGGAAGGGTGAGGATTGAGGTAAAGGGAGCAGTGCAGTAGTTACCTGTATGTGAACGACACCCACATGGATTAAATTCTGCATCCTTCTTTCAGATAACCGTACCAGAATGAGAAATGCCTTCACTTCAATGGTAAGTTAAATTTCTACTGCATTAGGGTAGAAAAACTAAGGCTGACATGGTTTTTTCTTGAAATAAAAGATTTTAAATGTTATTACTGCTACAGTTTGTGCGTGTTGTACACTCTGTGGTGTCCAACAGTGCTGTTTGCCAACACTGGTCAACTTTCAGCTTGTTACTGCTTCAAGCCTCATTACATGACTTGAACTCCAATGCATACTGACTCTCCAGTGCAGTACTGAGGGAATGCTGCCTTGTCGGATGTGCTGTCCTTCAGATGAGACATTAAACCCCAATTTAATTTGCCTGGAGATACACAGTCTCTGCACTTAACAGCAATTCCTTGTGAAGTACTTTCAGGGGGCTTTCGTCCTCAGATGAGATGTTAAACTCAGGTCCCATCTGCCAGTTCAGGTGGAAGTTAAAGATCCAAGGTACTATCTGAAAAGAGAAGGGAGTTTCTCTCTCCCAATGTCCTGGCCAACAATCCCCCAAATAAAATTGGTCACTCACTCCATAGCTGTTTGTGGGACATTGGGGTTTTGCCCCCAAAACACATAGTCATTGCACTTTATAGCATATCTTGTGAAGCGCTTTGAGACATCTCAACTACATGATAAGGTGCTACATCAAATGCACGGATTATTATTATTACCATGTCGTTATAACCAAATCATTGCCTTACTCAGTACTGAATGTGTAAGAGCGAACTTTGGTTGTTTAATGTGACCATTGTCTCTTGTGTTTATTTTAGCTGAAATGCAAGCATAAAATTCAGATGCCGGTACAGGAGCAGGAAACGACAGAGAACGGAAGGATTTTAGCCACAGCTGAGGAAGAAGACAAGAGCCCCGAGGTCGTGGTTCCGCTGATCACTGTCTGAAATGCTTCTCCTGGAAACTCTGAAACTCTCAGACTAAAATGTGTTGAAAAGAGACATTTAACATGGAACGTGTCCTGAGTCAATTGTGCATCGTGGTGTATCTGGAACTCTAAATATGACACTACCTCGATCAGAGGATGCATGTAAAATACCCTATTAATTCCTGCCCAGGGATTCAAAGATTAAGAAACCTTTCCATCCCAGGATGGAACCGTATAGGACTTACTCGGCAGGTATGGGAACGTATTGTGGAAGAGCTGGTTTTTAAACTACAGCATGTGTGTTCTATTTGTGTTCATATATCTTTAATGATTGTCGTCTTTCACATCAAATGTTATTCAAACCAGATTGTTTTTTTCTCTCTGTGTCAGGACAGGGATTGGTGCAGTCACTCCTCTTTCACCCATCAGTGGGCTCAGATCACTGAACTCCTGGTATTGTAACATTAAAATGCCAATTCCCAATCAGATTGAGCCACCAGATGGCTATTGCGATAAGTTGGAAATGTGGCCCTGGTGCTCTTGTGAGAATGAGCTTGAGGCACATTGTTGGGGTAGAGTGAAGAGGGAGGTAGGCTCCTTTGAGTGCTTCCCATGGGAAATTACTCAAGCTCCTGACGTGCACTCCTCCTGACACGGAAACTCTTGAACTTGTCACCCACCACATCCCGGTTCCCCACAACAATGCTCGTCAGGAGACCTGGGACCAGCACCACACAGCCGCTTCTTCCATCCTCAGCTACGTGAAGGAAGATACATCACTGGGCAGGCTGCTGGGAGAGAATTCAAAAGCGGCTCCTTTCATTCTGTGGGTCTGGTCTGTATTCAACCAGTGATTTGTTTATCTAATCAGATAGAAATGGGGGGGGGGGGGGTGTTGGGGAGGGTGGGGGTCAAATCTTCATGTGATGTAAATGTAGCAAAATCAAAAATCGTTCAGCTCTTGTTTTGCCTGGTAACTATGATATAAAGGTGTACCAGATAAAAAGCCAGTACATAGAATCATAGAATCTACATCTTTGATGTGAGCCCATAGCATTTAACACACTGTCCCTGCAGAGGATAGGGTAAAAAATTCTGTTCAACATTATACCTGGAGAGATGTGTAGCTGTGACAATGTGCGAAAGGGACAATAATAATAATCTTTGCATTTGATATAGCACCTTATCGTGTTGTCGAGCGAGTGTCTGTGGCGATGTGTGACTGTCATGTGCGACTGTGAATGAAATAATCCCATCAGTGACGATGTTTGTAATGCTGAATGGATTATTTACCTAATTGGTGACATTTTACTTGCACGAAGTGTAGTGATTTTGGCACCAAGGTCTCATTTGTGAGATATGTAGCCAGTATTAGCCAGGGAATGCTGTGGGAGAGCCAGCGTTGCTCATATCTCATCTCTGACTGACGTAAAGTCGGAAAATGAGCAGAATTCCTGTAGATCAGCAGTGACACGACCAAGATCCATCCATTACTAATCCTATTGGAAAACCTGATCCCAACGCGAAGCTATGAAGAGAAAAATCCCACGGAGGCCCAGCTTTCAATCCCTCTGCCTCAGGACGCTTTCCCCAAATCCCTCCGTCCTGTCTGCAGAACTGTCCTTAAGATATATCTCTGATTGCCCCTTTGGTCAACACAGAAACATAGGAATTGCTAGACGATACGAGACCTAGTCTGTCTTCTGTCATCCTGGTTATCGCATGCTACAATAATCCTCCAACTCCCCCCCTCTTCTTACTCTACTTGGTGAAAGATATTGTATCGTCGCGACGTTATCCTGTGTGAGAAATGCTCTCTATAAAACCAAGTTGCTGTTTTCAAAGTCACGGTATTTAGCAGCAAGTACAGCATTCAAATCACGCTGTAGCAAATGATTTTAATTGTAACGCTCCACTGTCTCTTAAATCTTTCTAATTCCTTATGCCGTCTCTGCTCCTCGCCTAGTACTTGATATGTCTGTCGGGGAAAGTGTGGGTGAAATGTTTATCCATCCCTGGGGAGGAGGAAGAGGAACAAACCTAGCCCTGCCAGCCTGAGTGTAGGTGTCTCTCTCTGTGAGTGTGTGTGTCTCTATCTGAGAGTCTGTATCTGTGTGAATCTCTCTCTCTCTGAGTGTGAGTCTCTGTCTGTGAGTGTTTCTGTGTATCTCTCTCTGTCTGTGAGTGTATGTGGGTGTCTCTGTGTCTGTGAATGTGTCTGTGAGTGTGTGAGTGTGTCTGTGAGTGTCTGTGTGTCTCTCTGTCTATGAGTGTGTATGTGTGTCTGTCTATGAGTGTATCTCTGTATCTGTGAGTGTGTCTCTGTGACTGTGTGCCAGTAAAATATACCTCTCAACACCACCAATCAAACCCTGCAATTTTCCGCAAAATTTGTCAAATTTCCTTGCAGTTTTTGGTAAATATTTCCGCAAATTTTCTGTTGGCCCTGATTATAATCCTTACCACCATCTGCAACCTTACTGCCAGGTTTCTGCCACAGTCGCACCCTCAGTGCACCCGGATTGGGATCTCGAGCTCTCTGGGATCCTACGCAAGAGCCGCTATAAAACAACAAGTGGTTGTTGTTATTGTTAATATTGCCAAATTCACTCGCTGCACCAGTTCCTCTGACACCTTTACTAACCTGGTTCAAAAAAGGTTATTTGTTTGTTTGCACATAGTTTTAGATTGGCTTATTTCCTACGCTCCAAACGTGAGAATTAGCCAGGGCACTCCAGGTGAGAACTTCTCCGATTCCATCAGTAGTATATATGTGTGTGTATGTGTGTGTGTGTGTGTGTGTGCGTGTATGTGTGTGTATACATGTATGCAATGCTTCTATGTAAATGTGCCACGTATATTTTGAGTTTGTGTATGTATGCAGTAGGAGGATGTAATAAACCTTGCGCTAAGAAAAAGGAAATAAATGAAAGATGCCTCATGTATGACAGTGAAATCACTTCAGTTTTTTTCATTAAAGGTTGTTGAAGTTACCATTTGCGTGTCTTGGTTTTCGGGCTTTATCGTGAACAGCACATTGTAAATGTGATCCGTCCAGCAGTAACTTCAAACGTGTTCACTTATTTAGAGAATTATTACAAGGAAAAGGTAGTGATTTGTGTCTGATAAACCCCTATGCGAGTCCACCTCTGTGTGTGTCCATCAATAGTTACCACTATGTGCATACTTGTGTATCTATGATATGTGTCTGGGCTGTTTGTATCTGCAACTCGTGTACTCTCACACACCGGGCTCCACGACCCCATCACTTCCAACTCCTCGCCCGACTCCACTGGAAGGGTGAGATCAATGGGCTTCTTAATCTAAACCTCTCTGTGTTGCGCCTGGAGCCACCTCTGTCTGAGTACAACAACAACGACAAATGACATTTGTATATTGCCTTTCACGTTTCGGGAAGTCGTCCCAAGGTGTACGTGTCTGCTGTGGGGCATGGATAGATTCACCTCTCTATCTTCTAGTGAAGTTGGACGAGGATTTCCCTCAACACCACCAGCATCTCTATTGCGCCCTTCAGAATGGGTAGTGTCCCGGAGTGCTTGGCAGTGGTGGAGTCTGACACCGAGCCAGGGGGAGAGGTGAGGTGACCATAAGCACGATCAAAAGGGAAGGTCTTTAGGTGGGACTTGAAGGTGGGGAGGGAGGGGCAAGGCGGAGGGATTGAGGGAGAGAGTTCCAGAGTTTCGGGGCATAGTGTTTCCCGACGTGAAAGGCGCTATACAAATGTAATCTTGTCGCTGTTGTTGTTGTAGTGGCTGAAGGCACGGCCACTGATGGTGGAACAGAGGGCACATGGAACAAAAAGGAGGCCGGAGCCAGCCGAGCGGAGGCAGCTGATGGTGGAATGGGGGGGGGTAAGCCCAGCTGACCCCAAAATCTGTCCATCCTTCGCCACATTCGGTCCCTCACCAGCACCACTTTCCTCCACCTCCGTCACATCACCTACCTCTGACTGTACCTCACATCCAACGCAGCAGAAACCCTTATCCACTCATTCGTCATCTCCCGCCTCGATTTTTCCAATGCCCTCCTGGTCGGTCTCCTCAGCTCCACCATTCATAAAATCCAATTCAAAACTCCATCACCTGTATCCTCACCCGCATCAAACTCTGTACCTCCATCACTCCAGTCCTTGCTAAGCTCCACGGTTCCCTATCGTAGAATGGATGAATTTCAAGATCCTCACATTTGGGCACAAATCACCGCCGGCACCTCCCTACCTCTCCGACCTGCTCATATCTTACTCCTCAACAGACTGATTTCAAGATCCTTTCACTCGTTTTCAGATCACTTCATTCCCTCGTCGGTTCGGTCGGGAGGTGCAAGGGAATGTAAGTGGGGAGTGGCCAATTTTATTTGGCGGATTGCTGGTCAGGATACCGGGGGGGAAAGAAACTCCCTTCTCTTTTCTAATAATGCCCTGGAATCTTTAATGTCCATCTGAACAGGTTTATTGTCTCACTCAGAGGACTGCAACTTTGACAGTGCAACCCCGGCCCCCCACCCTGCACCCCCCGCCCCGCAGCGCTGCATTGGAATACCAGCTTAGGCTATATGATTCCAAGTCCTGACGTGGGGCTTGAACCCACAACCTTCTGACTCAGAGACGAGAGTCGGACCACTATACCAGACTGACACAAGATTGGTATAAGATCATTTGTAAGACAACTGTGTGACAATACACATTAAATATTTACATTTCTATAGAGCCTTTCATGGTGGAAGGACAGTTTAGGGTTTGCAGTTGAGTAAACATAAAACGGTATTACGGCTGAGACCATGAGAAATTTCGGGCCTCAGAAGGAGAGAACTTTAACACCAAGGTAGAAGAACAAGAGGACAAAGGTTCCTCCCCCACATCCGGTCCCTGACCAGGACCGCCTTCTTCCACCTCTGCCACATTGCCCGCCTCCGACCGTACCTTACCCCAAATGCAGCTGAAACCCTCGGGCATACGTTTGTCACCTCCCGCCTGGATTACTCAAACACACTCCTCGCCGGTCTCCCCAGCTCCACTGTTCAAAAAATCTGGCTCAATCAGAACTCTGCCGCCCACATACTTACTCAGACCAAACTCCATACTCACATCTCACCAGTTCTGGCCCAGGCTCCATTGACTCCCCATCACCGAATGGATCGACTTCAAGATCCTCACACCCGTGTCCAAATCCCTTCACTCCCTGGCACCTCTCCGACCTCCTCACTCCCCAATCCACCACCCGACTCCTCCACTCGACTGGCACCAGCCCCCCCGCTCGTCCCTCGCCCACTCTGTCCCACCATCGGAGGTCACGCTATCAGCCACTTCACCCCGAAACACTCTCTCTCAATTCCCTCCACCTTGCCCCCACTCTCCCCTTTTTCAAGTCTGTGAAGTGCTTTGAGACGTCCAGAAGACGTGAGAAGCTCTATATCAAATTCAAGGATTATTATTATTATTAAATCCTGCCTGAAAACCTTCCCCTTTGAGCGTGCTTACGGCCACCCACCCCCACGGGCTCGGAGTCAGGCTCCGGCACTGTTAAGCGCTCTGAGACGCTACCCTGCGTGGAGGGCGCGACATGTGCAAGTCGTTGTGGCTGTAGAGGGCAATTTCAGGATAGAACCAGGAAGTCTTTTTCTTTATTCGAAGCGTAATTAACACCTGGAACAGATTACCAGGAAGGGTAACTGAGATCAGGACTCTTGACTCATTTTAACGAGCAGCTTGATAGGATGTTGGGGGTGGGGACAGTAGGGTGACGGGACAGGACAGGACGGACGAGATAATAATAGCGACAATAAAAAATAAGCCCCGCGTTTGATATCGGGTCCTTATGGCTTTGTCGAGACGTCTCAGAGCGCTTGACGGGAATGTTCGGCGGAGCAAATTGACTGCGTATTTTTTTTGTGGGGGTGAAACAGGAGGGGGTTAAACCCGACAGGTCACCGGGTAGCAAACTCCCGACCCACTCAGCAGCCTTCCCAACTTGTCACCCAGAGGGGGGGAGAGAGAGAGAGAGAGAGCGAGAGAGAGAGTGGAGTGGGCGTTCATCTCCCAACACGGAAGGAACTGCTAAACCACTGCAGTCAGACAGGACGGCCCTTCCTCCTCCTCCTCCTCCTCCTCCCTCTGAATCCTGAATTTGTGGATTTTTCAATCAAAATCTGCGCCAAAAAAAACAACCCCCAAAAAACGCCGCAAATATATATATATATATATCTAATATGTATATATGTGTGAAAGAAATGGCATCATCTCAGCTGGTGTGACTACATCGGAAAGTGGGCGATTCTCTCTCTCTCTGTGTGTGTGTGTGTGTGTGTGTCTGTGTCTCTCTGTCTGTCTGTCTCTGTCTGTGTCTCTGTGTCTCTCTGTCTGTGTCTCTGTGTCTCTACACAAAAGCCGAAGGGCGAAAAACCATGAAATTCCGACAAATGTTGTTGCTGCTGATTCCGACGATGCAGGTAATTAACTGATCGATCGAGTGATCTTCGATATTCCTTTTGCTGCTGTTTTTCCCCCCAATGTTGTGTGGGGGTGTGGGGGGGATTGTGGGGTTGTGGGGTGGGGGGGGGGGAAGGGTTAATATTCCCGTGGATCCTGGGTTTGCGGGGAGGGGTGGGGGGGGGGGGGGTGTGGGGGGGAGAGGGGGTATGTCGGTCTGTGACTTGAGGGATCACCTTCAGTGTCACCATTTTTCTTAATGGGGAACACCTTTAAATGGATACATTTCTTGTTTACGTTGGCGAAGGGCAACATTTACAGCTGATCCCCAGTGACGGCGCAGCAGCTGATTCCCCCCTCTCTCCCCCTCTCTCTCTCCCCCCCCCCCTCTCCCTCTCTCTCTCTCTCCCCCTCTCCTGACAGCCCCGGGGGGGTGGGGGTGGGGGGGAGGGGGAGAGGGCAGGAAAGGGGGAAATATTTGGCAGTGGATCTTTCTAAGACGGAATGAAAAATACATAAAAAATATATCAACACCTCCCGGGAGGGGGGAGAGGGGGGGCTTTACAGTGGGGTTTAAAGGGGGGGGGGGGTTGGGGGGTGTGTGTGGGTTGGGGGGTGGGTGGGTGTGGCGTTGGGGGGGGGTGTGGCGTGTGGGGTGGGGTGGGGGGGTTGGGGTGTGTGTGTGGGGGTGTGGGGTTGGGGGGGTGTGGGGTTGGGGGGGGTGTGGGGTTTGGGGGGGTGTGGGGTTGGGGTGTGTGTGGGGTTGGGGGCGGTTGGGGATGTGTGTGGGGGCTGGGGTGTGTGTGGGATTGGGGTGTGTGGGGGGTTGCGGGGTGTGGGGTTTGGGGGGGGGTTGGGGGGTGTGTGTGGGGGTTGGGGTGTGTGGGGGTGGGGGTTGGGGGGGGGGTGTGGGTTTGGCGGTTTGGGGTTGGGGGGGTGTGGGGTTGGGGTGTGTGGTGTGGGGTGTGGGGTTGGGGTGTGTGTGTGGGGTTGGGGGGGTTGGGGGGTGTGTGGGGTGGGGGGTTGGGGGTGTGTGGGGGTTGGGGTGTGTGTGTGGGGTGGGGGGGTGTGTGGGGTGGGGGTGTGTGTGGGGTTGGGGGTTTGGGGGGGGGTGTGGGGTTGGGGTGTGTGTGTGGGGTTGGGGGTTTGGGGGGGGGTGTGGGGTTTGGGGGTTGGGGGGGTTTGGGGTGTGTGGGGTTGGGGGGGGTGTGTGGGGTGTGGGGTTGGGGGGGGTGTGGGGTTTGGGGGTGTGTGTGGGGTGTGGGGTTTGGGGGGTGACCGTGTGTTATGTTTATCCTTTTATATCTTTCCTCGAAACGCTGTGATTTACGGTAAAGCTATTTCACGGTGTCGTTTTCCGCCAACGTTGTCTCTGACCTTTTGCGGATGATCCGCTTTGGGAGTTCCAGGTCAGCGGCTGCTCTGGGCTTCGGAGCCAAGTTTCCCGATCCCGGGATGTGGATCTCCTTCAGGAACCTTCTGCCCCCTCCACCCCCCAACCCCCCACCCACCCCCACACCCCCCACCCCCCACACCCCCCCCCACACCCCCCACCCACCCCACCCGGGAGGGGGGGAATGTGGGGAGAGGGGGAATGTGGGGTGGGGGTGAATGTGGGGGGGAGGGGGTGAATGTGGGGAGGGGGTGAATGTGGGGGGGGGTGAATGTGGGGGGGGTGAATGTGGGGTGGAGGGGAATGTGGGGTGGGGGGAATGTGGGGTGGAGGGAATGTGGGGTGGGGGGAATGTGGGGTGGGGGGAATGTGGGTGGGGGGAATGTGGGGTGGGGGGAATGTGGGGGGGGGGAATGTGGGGTGGGGGAATGTGGGGGGAATGTGGGGGGGGAATGTGGGGGGGGGGGGAGTGTGGGGGAGGGGGGAGTGTGGGGGGGAGTGTGGGAGGGGGGGTGGGGGGGGGGGAGTGGGGGAATGTGGGGGGGGAGTGGGGAGGGGGGAGGGGGGAATGTGAGGGGGTGGGTGGGAGGGATAGGATAAAATGGGGAGGGGATTATTCCATGGATCTGCTCAGGACCGTACAGAGCGCCTGTTAGGGAACTGATGGATACTGCGGCCTTCAGACGAGGTCCCGTCTGTCCGTTCCTCAAGTGTACGTTAACAAATAATCCTCACAGTTGATATAACGCCTCATTTACGTCTTCGAGACGTCTCTTGAAAGAGTTTCACAGTCTATTTTGCGGGTGAAACGTGCGCAGACGCAGCGCACAGCAGTGCCCCACAAACGGTCGGGATTGAACGACAAAATGATTGATTTTTTTTTTGAAGGGTTTATTACCCCCGGAAAAGCGATTCACAAAAATAATAAAGGTAATTTGGTCGCTAAATCCGTGACGGCTTGTGGGACACTGCTGTGCGTAATTGGCTGCCGTATTTTGCCCACAAAATATACCGTCAATTCACTTTACAGTATGTTTTGTGAAGCGCTTTCAGCCCTGTATCAAATGCAAGGATTATTATTATTATTACAGAGAGTAACAGACCCTATGTGTATATTAGAGAGTAACAGTTGCAGCCATAAGACATTGCTACAGGAAGGACAGAAATAGGATGTGAGTCTGCTGCTCCTCTTCCTCCAGTGACTGTCCAATGGGGAACTGAGCAATTTAGGGAGGAAGGACATAGGTTGCTGCGAGATAACTGGTCTCAACTCAGAGCAATAAGATGTTACAGTTGACCCCTTGAAGTGGGAAACCGAGCTGGGCTGACACTGACTGTTTCCCATCAGGAGGCCACATCTTGAGCAGAGAAAGATGGGTCACGAAGCCCAGTTTGACGCTTGGAGTGTGGGATCGTTTGCCTTTAACGGTCTTGCTCCGCCGAACCTCTGCGACCTATTAAATCTTCACCAACTTGTCTGCTCCCTCCGCTCGGCGGGCACTGTCCTGCTTCATTTCACCCACCCTACGCGCTCCACCCATCAGCAGTCAGGGCTTCAACCTTTATATCCTCACCATCTGGAACTCCATCCTGGAGCCCCTCCGCCTCGCCCCTTTCCTTACCTCCTTCAAGGCCTGTCTCAGGACCTTTTCGACTGGGCCTTATTATGATTATCTATTATTAAACCTGGAAGACAGTTTCCTGCAGAACTGATTTGACCACATAAGCCCGGATCCTGTTTGTCTTGCTTAATGCTGCCTCACACTGTTTTGACGCGGTGAACGATGAATCAACTAACACCTTTAGATCTCTTTCAGCTTCGGTATTGAACTTCATTTGCCAGTTGTCAGCTCGTGTACACAGCCTGTTAAACACTCTTTGTAAGACCTTTGCTGCTTTCTCTTATTCCACAGTTACCCCCAACTTGTTGTCATCTGCGCATTTAAGAAACTTACACTGGATCTGCAAATCCAGGTCATTAATATATACAAGGAACAGGAGGAGTCCTAGTACAGACCCCTGAATTTTGACCAAAGTCCCCTAAATAACTGCCCCATCTTCCTTCCCTTCAGCTAATTTTGAATCCATGTCCTTGTCTTACTCTTGATATCCAGGACATCAGTTTTTCATGCAGTGTCTTGTCAAATGCATATTGGAAGTGTCGGCCTGCACCCAGCCCCCTGGCTGTGCCTCCCTTTGTAGACAACTGTTGAGGAGCCTCCAGGCTGACTCACTCCATGATGTCGTGTCATCCCCTGTGGGCTCAGAAGGCGGACAACCTCTGCTCAACAACTCTGACTGGTAACACGAATGTTGGTGTGAAGGAATGTTGGTGTGCCTGATGCCAAATTTCCCGCTAACTGCAGTGCTGGGATAGGCTCCCTTCCTGTAACTCACTTATCCCGTGGTGTTGATCGCTCTCACTGGTACTAAGGCCATTTCATGACTGTGTCAGCGGGTTGGAAACACCCTCTGGCAGAGCCCTCACATCCTGGAGTCATGTAGAGTAGATGGTTAACGCACTCATCTCACAAGCGACAGGATCCGGGTTTAATTCCCGGGTGGGGAGAACCTTAGGTAAATTTCCTTACGCCACACGCCTCTGTTTACCTAGCAGCAAAGTAGGAATCCAGTTGTTAGTTGATTGGTGAATTGCTTTCCGGGAGTAAAAATCCCTTAAAAAAATAATAAAACGATGATTTGGTCGCTCGATCCATGACTGTTTATGGGACCCTGCTGCGCCTAATTGGCTGCCGCGTTTCACATGCAAAATACATAGTCAATTCACTTTACAGTATATTCTGTGAAGTGCTTTGAGGCGTCTCAACAACATAAGGTGCAAGATTATTATTATCCTGAGCTGTGACGTTGCCTCTCATTTCCTTGTGTAACAGGTCAAGTAACCACTCTGCGATCAGTTAAAGGGCGGGGAGGCAGACCTCGTGTTCCTCAGAATCAACGCTGTCCTCGTGTGGCCTCAGCACATTCATTCCTTCAACACTTTGCATCTATGCGTTCAGACTACAGCAGTCTAGACACTCAATAATTAGAGATGAGAAAGCACAGAGTGATTGGGAAATAAAATGATTTAATACCCAGGAGCTTCCCGTAGGATGTCTGCTTTTAGTCGATAAACCACATGATTGTTGGACGGTTAGAGAAAAAAAAATGGGTTTCACTTCTATCCTATCATAGTCCCTTCCTACCCAGCTACCCCCACCCTGCCCGAACAGCTGCCCGCATTTACAGAGGAAATTAAGATTCATAAAACAAAAAATGTGACGAAATATTTTTAAAGTAGCTTCAAAAAAGGGAATTCATCAAACATCTGCTAGGCAGCAAGGGTATGGAGGAGGGGTGTAAGACAGCCCTTACAGTGCGACAACACAAAATACAAATGGCCTCCTCCTGTGCTGAAACATTCTGTGTTAAAATAATAATAGTGTGGCTTCCGAAGGGTCTTATCATACTCGTACTCCGTCCGAGCACTTCTCACACATGTTACGTGGGGAAATGTGGCAGTGAATCTGTGCAAGCATTGTTCCACCAACAGCAAATGGAAATTAAGTCAGCGCCTTCTGGGGGTGCGGTGGGGGAGCTTCACAATATCATTAAAATTTATAGCCACTAAATGAAACCGGGTTCCTGTGTGTACTGTACGCTGCTCTTTAGGTGATGGGCAGGGTGGCGAGCATTAGTTACTCCTGGTCACTGGCTTCTAATAGCAATAATAATAATATAATAATCCTTGCATCTGATATAGCACCTTATTACATCGTTGAGAAGTCTGTTAGGTGAAGCGCTGTGAGACATCACGACGTTTGCCCTGCCTGGGAATTGAACCCAGATCCTCTCGCCTGCCTGAGAGGACCTGGGTCAATCATTAAGCTACAGGACTCCACATAATAATCTTTGCATTTGATATAGCACCTTATCACATTATTGAGATGTCTCAAAGTGCTTCACAGAGTAAAGTGAATTGAGTGTATATTTTATGGGCGAAATGCGGCAGCCAATTGCGTGCAGCAGTTCCCCACAAACCCTCATGGTGCAGAAAGGAGAGATTCAGGTTCCTGGAACATTGGGACCAGTTCTGGGGTAGGTAGGACCTGTGAAGGTGGATGGGTTACACCTGAACAGGGCTGGAACCAATGTCTTTGTAGGGATGTTAACTAGTGCTAGTGGGGAAGGGTTTAAACTAATTTTGAGTGGGGAAGGGAATCAGGATGTAGCATCAGGGAGGAGAAATAAGTTACATAGAGGGCTGGGAGAAAGGAATAGCAATGCAATAAATCCCAAAAAAGGAGGGATTAGACATGGGAGAAATGAAGAGCAGACTAAGTCGGTTTTGGAGTGCATGTGCATAAATGCACAGAGTGTGACAAATAAGATTGGTGAGCTGCAGGCTCAAGTTACCACATGGGGTTATGATGTAATGGGAATAACGAAGACTTGGCTCAAATAAGGGCAGGAATGGGAGCTGAATATTCCTGGCTACAATGTATTCAGGAGGGATAGGGAAAGAAAAAGAAAATGGGGGGGTGGCAATATTGATTAAAGACGTGGAAAGGGCCAATGTCCTAGAGGGTCCAATAAACAGAATCTATTTAGTTGGAGTTAAGGAGCAGAAAGGGAGCTGTTACTTTGTTAGGTGTACACTATAGATCACCAAATAGTGGAAAGCAGATAGTCGAGCAAATCTGCAAGCAGATTTCAGAAAGATGCAAAACCAATAGATAATGGGGGACTTCAATTATCCTAACGTAGACCTTGCAAAATAACAGTATGAAGGGCAAGGAGGGAGAAGGATTCCTGAAATGTGTGCAGGATAACTTTCTGGATCAGTATGTTTCCAGCCCAACGAGGAAGGAAGGAAGCAGTGCTGGATCTAATTCTGGGGAATCCAACAGTGTTGGATCTAGTTCAGGTTTCAGTAGGAGAGCATCTGGACAACGGTAGGTTTAGAGTACTTATGGAAAGGGATAAGGAGCAATCAAAGGTGAAGACACTCAATTGGAAGAGGGCTAATTTCAGTGAGTTAAAAAGGGACCTAGCCAAGGTGGACTGGAAAGAAAGATTGCCAGGTAGAACAGCTAATGAGCAATGGGTAGCCTTCAAGGAGGAGATAGTTCGGGGACAGAACAAATGCATTCCCACAGGGGAAAGGTAGGGCATCCAAATCTCCCTGGATGACTAAGGAAATTGGGATTAAAATAAAACAGAAAAAGGAGGTTTATGATAAATGTCAGGTCCAATATACAGAAGATATTCAAATAGAATATAGAAAGTACACAGGAGAACCTGAAAAAGGAAATGAGGAACAAAGAGATTGAATGAGAAAAGATTAGCGGGTAGCATAAAAACAAAACCTAAGGTATTTTATAAGCACATAAAGAATAAAAGGTTGTTTGAAGGTAGGATGGGTCCAATTAGGGACCAAAGTGGAAATCTTCTTGTGGAGGCAGAGGGCATGGTTGACATACTGAATGAATACTTTGCATCTGTCTTCACAAAAGAAGAGGATGCAGCCAATGTCACAGTATTGGAGGAGAGGGTAGAGAAATTAGATAAGATAAGAATAAACTGAGAGGAGGTACTAAAAAGGTTGTCAGTGCTCAAGATAGATAAGTAACCCAGTCCGGATGGGATGCATCCTAGGTTACTGAGGGAAGTAAGGGTGGAAATAACGGAGGCTCTGGCCACAATCTTTCAATCTCCTTGGACACCTGAGTGTTGCCGGAGGACTGGAGGGTTGCAAATGTTACTCCTCTGTATAAAAAAAGGGGCAGAAGGATAAATCTGGGAATTACAGGTCAGTCAGCCAAACGACTGGGGAAACTTCTGGAGACTATAATCCGGGACACACAAAATTTTCCTTTGGGAAAATATGGGTTAAAAAAGGACAGCCAACACGATTTGTTAAAGGCAACGCGTGTCTAACAAGCCTGAAAACTAACAGTGAGGAGGATAGTAGCAGACTGCAAGAGGACATAGACAGACTGGTAAAGTGGGCAGACGTGTGGCAGATAAAGTTTAATGTGGATAAATGCAAAGTGATGCATTTTGGGAGGAAGAATGAGGAGAGGCGATATAAGCTGATGGTACAATCATAAAGGGGGTGAAAAAACAGGGAGACCTGAGGGTTCATATAAATAAATCTTTGAAGGCGGCAAGACGGTAGATAAAGCTGCTTAAAAAAAGTGTATAGTATACTAGGCTTTATGAATGGGAGCATAGAATACAAAAGTCAGGAAGTTATGATGGACCTTTATAAAACACTGGTTAGACCTGAGGGTAACCCGAGGGCATCGATTTTAAAATAGTTGCTAAAAGAAACAGAGGGGAGGTGAGGAGAAATTTTTTCACACAGCGAGTTGTTCGGATATGGAATGCATTGCCTGAAAGGGTGGTGGAAGCCGATTCGATAACAGCTTTTAAGAGACGAGTAGATAATTATTTTTGGAGAACAAGTTTGCAAGACTCTGGGGAGAGAGCGGGGTAGTGGGATTGATTTGGATAGCTCTTTTGAAAGAGCCGGCACAGAGATGATGGGCCGAATGGCCTCCTTCTGTGCTATATAATTCTATGAAACAGTCGTGGATTGAATGAGCCATTTTCTTTTGAGGCAAGCACCCAAGCCATTACCGCTGCCGCGTTTGCCCACAAATATACAGTCAATTCACTTTACAGTGTGTTCTGTGAAGCGCTTTGGGACGTCCTCCCGATGTAAAAAGCGCTATATCAAATGCAAGGATTATTATTATTACGTTACAGCAGGTTGGTGAAATGCATTCAGGTGTTTCCTAATGGTGTGTTTGCTCTTCTATTCCAGCTGTACTTCTGTGAATCCTCCGCCAAATGCAACAGTCTCACGCAATATTACAAGGTTGCCCGCTGCTGTACTAAATGCCCGCCTGGTAAGTCCTTACCCAGAGATGGTCGATAAGATTGGACTAATTTACAGGCTGGGATCAAATTGAAGGGCTTGGGCAGATTATGTACAGAATAATGGATCTCTGGGCATGACCTAGAGGCTGGAGTCTTAATTTGAAGGGTTCTGTGTGTGTGTGTGTGTGTGTGTGTGTGTGTGTGTAGGTGTTTGTGGGGGGAATAATATGTGAATCTTCAGCCAAATGCAATTATCTTGCACAGTATTGCAAGGTTGGCCGCTAATGATAATAATATAATAGAATAATATTTGATCCACAGATTGAGTCATAGGCTGGAATCTAATTGAATGGCTTATATTATAGAATAATATAACAATAATAATATAATAATAGTTTTTCATTTGATATAGTGCCTTATCATGTCATTAAGATGTCTCAAAGAGCTTCACAGAATATATTGTCAAGTGTATTTTGTGGGTGATTGGACCCTGAGAGTGAGTTACAGGCTGGAATCTAATCCAGGTGATCAATATTTTTAGTGATCAGTGCATGATTGACCCCAATGTTGCTAAATCTGTAGAATATCTCTTCCCCATCGAGCTGCACACACGACACAGCTTGTGACAGTGCGTGCTTGGAGAAGAAAGGAAAACATGGCATTAAGACCAGAGACTCGATCAAATCTGCTGACTCTTGGGGGCTCCTGCAAGCCCCCTATTCTCTCTACGCTAGTTTGCTATTTGTTCTGTTCAATGTTACAGGTAGCTACATGGAGAAAGAGTGCACCCGGAAAGTTGAGACAGATTGCAGAGGGTGTGAGCCACACCATTACCAGTCTGACTGGAACATGCTCGATCATTGCCGACGACACACCAACTGTGACCCAAGTAAGCACCCGCCCTGGTCTAATCCCTGCACCACTGGTGACACTTTGTGTGAATGGGTTGCACATCAGAGGCCAAGGATCAGTTAAGAGCTGCCCCATCCAGGAGGCCCTCCGAACTGCCCCCTCCCCATCCTTCCCTCCCTCCCTCCTTCCCTCTCTCTCCCCCTCTCTCTCTTCCCCTCCCTCTCTTTCTCCACTTTCTCCATCCATCCATCCATCCATCCCCACATTCAAAGCCCATCTCAAGACTTACCTGCTTTCTTTGACCGTGATTTCAGTCGCCTCTCCCCACTTTCCTCAACCCCCAACTCCCCCCAGCTCAGGCGCCCAGCCCAGCTGTGTGGATTTCTTTTTAGACGTCCTCCCGATGCTGTGTGAATATAAATTACATTGTGTGTGTTCAGTAGGTGTCTACACCTTGAGTCTAGGAGGTTTATCTGAGCAGCGATCTCAGCACTCGTTATCATGACCTGGTTTCTCGTCCAGTTGTCTGACGCTAGGCTTCTGGCTCAACTGAGATGAGGGAAAAAATGCCAGTAGTTCAACAAAGCCTGAATACCCAACCTCAACACCAGCCCATTCTCGCCCGACTCCATTGGCTCCCTATCCTTCAGAGGATCCAGTTCAAGATCCTGGTCCTCATCTACAAAGCCCTCCATGGTCTCCCCCCACCCTACCTCTGCGACCTCCTAACCCCTTACCAACCTTCCCGCTCCCTCCGCTCAGCCGGCTCCGGCCTGCTCCACGCCCCCGCCCCACCATTGGCAGGAGAGCCTTCAGCCACTCTGCCTCCAACCTCTGGAATTCCATCCCCCATTCACTCCGCCTCGCCCCCTCCTTAGCCTCCTTCCAAGTCTCACCTCAAAACCCTCCTCTTCGACCATGCCATCGCCCCCCCCCCACTTCCCCTCCCCTCCCTTCTCCCTCTCTCACCCCAGCTCAGGTCTGAAATGCTGTATGCTGTCCAGCACCTCGGGACGTTCTCCCGAAGTGAAAGGCGCTATACAAATGTAATCTTGTTGTTGCTGCACACTTACCAACACAATGCTGTGCCAACAAAGGTATTTAACCTGTTATCTTTGATTTGCTCAGACGGAGGCTTTGAGACGGACTCAGAGGGCGACACGACGCACAACACAGTCTGTAGATGTGCAGTAGGAAAGCACTGCGCTAATAAGGACTGTGAAGTTTGTATGGATGACACCCCCAATGAAGAACTGGTGGCACCAGGTAAAGGCGTCGAACCAAAGTAAAGGCTCAATTGTTTTGGGCTCATCTGAATGTAACTTTAGAAGGTGGTAGCAGGCAGATGGTGGGGCAAACAGCCAGACACTGGCAGTTTACAAACAAGCCTCCCAACAAGTCACAGGCATTCACCTACGATCACTCAGTTAATTCACTTCACAATGTATAGGGTGTTCACAAAGTCCTGTTACTCCCATTTTACACAGTGCACTGACCAACAACTGAAATGTGTGGAAGACTGCTGATATTGTATTTAGAAGCGCTTAATTGTGTTCAGTGCAAGTGTTTGACCGTATTCAGATGTTCAGAGGATTGATATGGTTGTGTGAGTGCCATCGTTTTCATGGCAGATAATGATCCGTTACCACGTTCAGCACGATATCTTCTGTAACGTGGATGGAATAAGGAGGAAGTTACTGGTGTCGGACATTGTTATACTCGACTCATCCGCAACAGAAAATAAAAATTCAGTGTAAGAAAACGTAACAGGACTTTGTGGACACCTGTACATTGTCCCCCTGATAAATGTAATCATTCACTTTCTTAGCAGCAAATAGGAACCCGATTGTTAATCAATTGTCGTATCGCTTTCCGGGGGTAATAATCCCTCCAAACACGACTGTTTGTTAGACACTGCTGTGCTCAATTGGCTGAGTTTCTCCCACAAAATACATAATCAATTCACTTTACAATATATTCTGTGAAGCGGCTTGAGATGTCTTGATGCTGTGATAGAGCGCTATATCAAATACAAGGATTATCATTATTACAAAGACTTCAATGGGTTTTACAATGACTGATTGTGATTTTATTCCCCCTGCTCCCTGCAGATGATCATTGGCCGAAGGACACCGAATGTAAGCCGTGCCAGCCTGGCTTTTACTCCGACGTCTCCTGTGCAGTGGCACCGTGCAAACCATGGACAGAGTAAGTAACTCCTGGTTTGAATGTGTCATGAATGTGCGTTGCTCATGCCAGCCATCTGTTTACTGCTTTAACCTGGCGAGCAATCCCACACCAGATTCTCTCATCTTCCCTCCCCCCACTCCCTTCACGCCTCAACCTGTTTCATGCTTCAGCTCTTTGATTGCACTTTCAGTCATTTCCCACCCAGGCTTGGGTGCTCGAGGTGCTGTAAATATGAAAGGTGCTATGTTAGTGTACATTGTGTTGTGTGTATTGTATTGGATCGAGATGTGAAAGGCTCTATATAAATGCAAATTGTTTTGCAAAATTTGCAAATCAACTTCAGTATTGCAAAATGGAGTAAATTTTGATCTCGGTAATTGGCTCATCAAACGTGGCTTGAGCTGTGCGTTACCTTTTTAAAACCGTTATCAGGGGAAGGAGTGTAACTGACATTTTATCACTAATGTAGTTTTATTAATAAAGTAATTTTATCGATAAATAGATAATTATTTGGGGAGGACAAGTTTGCAGGGCTATGGGGAGAGCGCGGGGGAGTGGGATTGATTTGGAGAGCTCTTTTCAAAGAGCCCACACAGACACAATGGGCCAAATAGCCTCCTTCTGTGCTGTATAATTCTATGATTTTATGATCACTCACAAAATATACAGTAAATTCACTAAATATATTCTGTGAGGCACTTTGAGACGTCTCAATGAGATGATCTGGCGCTATATCTATTGCAACGATTCTTCTTATTATTAGAGCTGAAATGATGGGATGGTTTGAACCTTAATGTAATTGCCACTTCTAGAATGGAATCATCTTTTAAACCCAGTAAAATATTTTTCTCTCCTTTTAGCTGTGGGCCAAAGGGACAGCTGAAGCCGGGTAACACAACAAGCGATGTGATATGTAAGTACCATAGAGGCACTGCGTAGGCTGCGGTCAGCACTGACTCACACGAAACGAGAAGACAAGAGGGACATCTGAAAGGATTCTGACCGGAGCGGAGAAAGTAAACCACAAACAGCATGTTCAGATATGCCCAAGGCAGCAGGGAAAAGGGAAGACCGGTTCAGGGCTGTGAAAAGCAGATTCCTTGAAGCATTCCTTTACACAGAAGTGAATTGACAGTTCGCAAGATCACTTGTCAGTCACTCGGTGATCCCTCAGGGGTCACTCTTGTGTCAATGTCGATGCTAAGTGCCAGCAGGCTTTTATATGTATATTTCTCACGTGGTGCAGCCTCTCCAGCTTGTTGTGGTGTTATCAAATTTCCCGTGTGTCTATAGATAATGGTTTGCATTGTTGCTTTGTTTTCAGTGGTACTGTTATCTGTTCTAACACTTTGTGTATGTAAGTGTGTGTATTGTATCCGTGAGTGAGTAAGTATGTGTGTGCATGTGTACATATGTATCGGTATGTGTGTATATATTTATACTTGTGTATCGTGTGTGCATATTTGTAGTGTGTATTGAATGTGTGTGCGTTGTGTATTTGTTTGTGTGTATTGTATTGTGGAGTCCTGTAGCTCAGTGGTTGAGCACTCGCTTTGCGAGCGAGAGACCTGAGTTCAATTCCAGGCAGAGGGCGAAACCTTGGGCAAGTTTCCTTACTCCACACAGAGCCTAATAATAATCCCTCCAAAACCAAAAACAATAATAAATTGGTCATTTTCAATCCACGACTGTTTGTGGGACATTGCTGTGCGCAATTGGCTGCTGCGTTCGCCCACAAATATACAGTCAATTCACTTTACAGTGTGTTCTGTGAAGCGCTTTGGGACGTCCTCCTGACGTGAAAAGCGCTATATCAAATGCAAGGATTATTATTATTTTATTATTATTATTATCTGTGCGTGTACGTGTGAATTGTATCTCTGCGTATGTTTGTATCAGAGTGTGCGTGTTTCGTATCAAGGGTATGTATGTGCATGTATGAATCAGAGAATATGTGTGAGAGAGCGTTTTGTATCAGAGTATGTATACGTGAGTCATTCGTGGAGTCCTGTAGCTTAGTGGTTAAAGCAATCGCCTTGCAGCAGGGGCAACAACAACAAAATTACATTTGTAAAGCGCCTTTCATGTCGGGAGGACGTCCCAAGGCGCTGGACAGACAGAGTTATGGACCCGAGTCGGGGGTCGGGGAGGGTGGAGGACAGGGGAGGAAGCAGGATAGTGGGCGGGCGAGGCGGGGGAGGTGAAGCTGGCCGGAGCCCGCTGAGCGGAGGGAGCGAGCAGGATGGTAGGGGGTTAGAAGGTCGCAGAGGTAGGGGGGGAGCAAGGCCATGGAAAGCTTTAAAGGTGAGGACCAGGATCTTGAACTGTATCCTCTGTGTGATGGGAATCCAGTTGAGTCAGCCGAAGATGGGGGTGATAGCGTCACGGAGCCTTGTGCGGCAGAGGACACGGGCTGCAGAGTTCTGGATGATCTGCAGCCTATGGAAGGAGGAGTTGGGGAGGCTGACAAGCAGCGAGCTTGCGTAGTCGAGCCTGGATGTTATGAATGTGTGTATGAGGGTCTTGGTGCCCTGCAGTGAGGAGCCAGGAGATGTTGCAGAGGTGGGGGAAGGCAGAGCGGGTCATGACATGGATGTGGGGTAGAAAGGATAGTTGAGGGTTAAACAAGAAACCAAGGTTCTGGACTGGCTTAATAAGATGGAGTGTGTATCCTTGGATGGTGAGGAGGCACTCAGTAGGGAGCCAGTCAGGAGGGCCTCGGTCTTGTTGACTTTCAACAGTAGAAAGTTAGCTCTCATCCAGGACTTGATGTCCGACAGACATTCTGTCAGGAGAGCAGTGGTCCTGGAGTCGAGGGTGGAGGCAGAGAGAGCGTTGGGTGTCATCCGCATACATGTGGAAGTTGACCCCATGTCTGCGGATGATGTCACCAAGAGGGAGCATGCAGCAAGTGAGAGGAATTGGGTTTGATTCCTGGTAGGGTGAAACATTGAGCAAGTTTCCTTACTCCACATCTCACAGGCGACAGGATACGGGTTTAATTCCCGGGTGGGGAGAAACTTTAGGTAAGCTTCCTTACGCCACACGCCTCGGTTTACCTAGCAGTAAGTAGTAACCCGGTTGTTAGTCGATTGGCGGATGGCTTTTCCGAGGGTAATAATTCCTTTATATCAAAAAAAAATGTGGTCACTTAATCCATGACTGTTTATGGGACACTGCTGTGTGCAATTGTCTGTCGTATTTCGTCCGCGAAACATACAGTCAATTCACTTTACAGTATATTCTGTGAAGCGCTTTGAGACGTCTGAAAGAGGTGAAAAGGCGCTATATCAAATGCAAGGATTATTATTGTTATTATATTCAGTCACTGACCTCAAGCTGTTCCGTGCAAAAATCCTGACTAAATGAGCATCTGCCTTTATCCCAGGCAACCCCGACACTGTCCTATCAGCTGGCATCACTGCCGCTATTGTGGTCGGAGTCTTGCTCGTAGTTCTTGTGGCTCTCATCGGGGGAGGCTTCTACATGACAGGTACGTCTGGCGCTGTTCTCACTCGGTCATAGGTTCTCTACATCAACAACAATTTGCACGCAGGGTAGGGACTCACAGTGCTTAAACACTTTAGGGTGGAAAAGTGCTAAAGCACTTTGAATTTGGCCTCCAGAATAGAAGGCCTGGGAATAGAAAGCAGGTAAATGCTTATCTGACGGAGAGATTCCAGGGAAAAGGGGGATTTCAAATGTAACCACAATTCCAGTCGCGGAATATTGTGATATAAACAGACACTGTGTTAATTCTAAAACTTGTGCAATCGCTCGAGGCACAATACTTTTCTTTGTTCAAAAACAATCTCTTTTGTTTGTGACTGTGTGTGCGTGTAGATTCCCTCAAGAAATGGCCGGGAAGTCTCCTGGGAAAGGTACGTCACACGGGAAGGGGGGCGCGGGGGGGGGGAGAGGGTGGTGGGGGGAGTTTTGGAGGAAGGGTTGGGGTGGTCGTGATATTTATCAAACTGTGCGGATCTCGAGCGTGTTATGCTGTGTAGACAATGCGCAGTATTAGGGTCCCTCACCTCATCCACATTCGAAAACCAACATTTTGTTGGGGGGGGGGGGAAATAAAAACAGTGAGGGGTGGGGGAACCCTGATACTATTCGTTTTAAATTGTCCAGTGCTTGCATCTCTGACTCTCCTCGTTCTCATCATTTCATCATTTACGGGAAAGGGTGTGGTTTTCTGCCGTGCACTGTGTGACTGAATGCTTTCAGGCTCTGTGCCAGTGGCAGCACATTTAGTTTGAGGCTTATGTATAATAAAGCAAAACTTCCACAAGTCGTATCAACAACAACAACAACAACTCGCACTTACATAGCACCCTCCACGCAGGATAGCATCTCAGACCGCTTAACAGTGGCGGAGTCTGACTCAGAGCCAGGGGAGGTGGCTGTAAGCACGGTCGAAGAGGAAAGTTTTCAGGCGGGACTTGCGGGAGAGTGTTGTAGAGATTCGTGGCATAGTGGCTTAAAGCGCGACCGCCGATGGTGGGTGGAGGATGTGAGGGACGAGCAGGAGGCTGGTGCCAGTCGAGCGGAGGCGCCGGGTGGTGGATTGGGGAGTGAGGAGGTCGGAGAGGTAGGGAGGCGCCAAGGTGTATCAATTGGGACCGTAATATTTAATATGACTTCTGTGGAGTATGAGTTATGGGCAAATTTGCGTAAATCGTATAAAATCCGATTGAATCAATAATCTACATTCACTGCACATACGTACTTCAATGCAACTGGTAAATGCGCCTGTGTCAACTGGTCACAACTTCATTTCCCGCAGTTCAATGGAGTCGGTAAATGCGGTAACGGTTTTACAAGTTTGGAGATGATTTGCTTTATAAAATACAATTAGTGCAAAGAAATCTGCAAAAAAAAATGTTTTTTTTGTTAAGAAACTGAATGGGACTCAGATGCGTGTATGACTTAGGAGATGATGCGATTTATAAAAATAAGACTTATGTGAGTTTTTACTGTATTCTGACACTCCTTGTATTATCCTGAATCGTTTGAAGAGGTGAGTGGATCCATTGAGATTTAAACCTGGATTCCCTCAGCCTAATTTCTATAGATCAACTGAGCGACTGAGATGAGATACATGACAGGGACATACCTCAATTCCGACAACATTGGAAAACCCCCAAATTTGTTTAAAACAAAAATTTGTTGTGGGTAACATAGAATTCCTTAGGACCCAGTACTGCTATAAGGTACCATAGTGCCATAAGATAATGCTATAGTTACTGCCTTAACACATTGCCATAAATTACTGGCATATGCATCACCATAGGTGTTGTGTACTTCATGAGCAGTTTAATCAGGGGATGTAACTCTCAGAGTTATTTTACAGCACGCTATTTGTGCCCCATTCTCTACATAAGAACATAAGAAATACTATGGGGAAAAAAGACCAAGGCCCATCTAGTGCACCTTCCACCTTCTTGGCGGTCGCATGCGCATATGTCCCGAACTACCTGTTGTTAATAATTCGACAGGTGGTGGTAAGAGTATAGAGTTTATTGCCCAAGATGAAACATAAGGTTTAACAATCTATAATCAAATTATACTACTTATAACAACAGAATAACAATACAACACATCTATGTGAGCAAAACATTTACCACGCAGCATGCACTCAGGTGTGGCTCAGTACTCCAGATGAACAACACACCTCAAAATACACAGCAGAGATCAGTCCCTGGAAATCCCTCAGGGACAACTGATTCTGTAACACAAAACTTCGGAAGACAGACAATCCCCAGCACTGTCTTTTAACCAGCACCGACCGGTATGGCGTTCAGCCTCTGGAATCGCTCCTCAGGTATAGCTGCAGTACCTTGCAGACCTTAGTACTGATGATATAGTGTCAACAACTCACATAAAGACAATCCCCAGTACTGTCTTAAACACTGACCAGACAGGGATGCCAGCACATATCCAGGCACTGTTTTGTACTCCAGACTAAACAGTAGATCTGGGATCACACCTTGACATACACTGGAGAGATCACAGAACTATCACACAGAATCACAGAGAGTGGCTCCTGGAAACCCAACAGAAACAACCAGCTCTTAGCCCAGCACCTCACTCTAAATCACTACTACTGTTACTACTTCTCTGCCTAGCAAACAGAATCGAAAACATATTACCCACTCCCCCTCCTCTTTCACTTTTCATGGTCACTTTCTTACTGGAGGTAAATTCCCTCACCCCTGTACATATACATAGATACAGTAGAATCGATATCGATTCCACTGGGAAGTGCGCTGACCCTCTGCACAACTCCCAACTATTTCAAAGTTACATCTTTCTTTTATGTGTTTCTAACTCCAGCTTCCCTGGTCACAGAGAGGCCCCCACCCTTCGCAGGGCTGCTTTGCACACAGAAAGATAAGGACAACTTATATATATATATATATAGATATGGACAACTTAGATATGGACAACTTCCCCGGTCTGCTTGTTTCTCAGCCTTGAGATAAGCAGGTGCCTGAGGCTGCAGCCTTTGCTTTTTGTGGTCCATTGTTGTTACATCTATGTTAAGGGCTCATTATCTCAGAGGAGTGAACATCTTCCCAGGAAAATATGCAATGTTATCAGAAGCTAACCTCAACCTCAGCCCGTTCAGCAAAGCTACTTTTAACCATTTAGCTGTCAAACCTTCTGGAACATTTGATTGCTGTTTGAAATATACCAAGTCGGTATATTTCAACACTGTGTGATTTATTCCATAATGTTATGGGATATATTACGTTCTAACGCTAACTGGTCTGTCAATGTTTCCACAGACTAAGCAAGTGGCCCAACCCCACGCTAAAGAAAATAACAACGACGTCCGTGTTGTTTTGCTTGATTCTAATGGCTGTGCTCGAGACCCGAATGTGGAGGAAACCTCGATCCCAGTTCCGGAGACCCAGATGCCAGGGCAGGTCAGGTGCATCTTGGTCACTGCCTCTCAAGAGGATGGCAAAGAGAGCCATCTCCCAGAGCAGGAGCAGGCCAGTTACCCCAGGAGCTAGAGCAACAACAACAAATGACATTTATATAGCGCCCTTCATGTCGGGAGGACGTCTCAAGAACAAAAAGGGAGGGTGGCTCTTTGGAGCACAGCTAAAAGGTGGTAAGCTCAACCTGGGCAATGTGGTGGAGGGACAAGAAGGTTGATCCGTTTAATTATTCTTGCCCGGCCCTCTGTGGGGGTAATGAGCATTTCTCTTCTATCGATTTGTGTCTTGTGAAATCGACGTTCCCAAGGGCAAAGGCCACATCCAAAACCAGATCCACGTTCTCAGCTACAAGGATGGGTTGAAGTTGTCATTGGTTGACCTAAATCTGTTGAATTGACTGGATTTCTATTTAAAGGTGCTGAAGATTCGTGATGTCAAACTTTTATTCAAAGTTGGGTTTGGGTAAAGTTGACTTTTCATAACACAGGGCAAATGGTTCCACTAAACACTGGTAAGAATCACAACAATGCTGTTTGGGCCACCCTACAATCCATTCGGACCATGGCTCAGAGGACTGAGGACATTGTCAGTGTTTTCAAGTCTCATGGACAAGCCAGTCAACTATCACCATTGCCTCGATTCACCACACATCAGCCTAACCTCTATTCTCTCAGCCTGAATCATTTGAAGAGCTGAGTGGATCCATTGCTGTTCAAACCGGGATCCACCCATCCTAAATCTGCGGATGAAATGACTTGAGATGTGTCACAGGGATACACTGCAATTCTGACAACATTGGAAAAAAATCACATTTGTTAAAAAAAAATCATGCTGCACAGACCAGTAAGCTCTCAGGTTAGATCTGTACTGAGACATCTGAGGAGAAATGTTTTCACTACAGAGCCTTTCAACACTCTTTCGTTAAGCGAAAATAGAATTGACGCACCTGGACTGGTGCACAGAGGAATTTACCTCCAAAACTTACCGCAAGAACCAGAGAGGTTTTCAATCCTGCCCTGCCATGCTCTGAACGAGGGTTGGTTGTAAGATTGTGGTATTGAGACCACAATAAACACCATTCACGGTCAGTTGGTAGAAGGGAGCCAAGGGGCGTTCTTTCAAATGTTAATTTCAGAATATTAATTGAAGTCTTCAATTGAATTTGATCGAGAAGCCTCTGAATATTAAGTGTTATAGTTACTGTGTGTAATGCTGAACTCTGGCTACAAGGATGGGTTTCAATTCCTGACATCTGCTGTGTGTCGGGGATTCATTTCTTCACCCAGAGGGAAATTAACAACCAGAGCAGGTTACCGGCAAGGGAGGTTGAGATCAGTCACTGGACTCGGATCAAGGTTGAAAGGAGGCATCTCAGAGGTATACACCATTTTCAATGGAATTGAGAAAGGACACCCAGAACAATACTTCTGGACGGGCCAACTATTTCAGGACACATGTTCAGATGTCAAGACACACACCAGAAAATATTTATTTACCAAGATGGTGATTAATATCTGGAACAGGTTAGTTCAGGAAGACTGGTTGAGGCCAGGATATTGGGACTCATTTCCAAGCAGCTTGATTCTGCGATGGCGGGGAACGATAGAGTGGGTATTCTGAAAGGATGATATCAGATGGGTCTTTATTCATCTGAACCAATTTTGTGATCTTGCACTTCTCCATTGCTCCATTTGCACTATTGCCAAAGGCTAAAACATTTAAGATTGTACGGAATGTTGCAAAATTCGGTCTTTATTTGGAAACCTCGGTTTACCGCTCACCTTTTTATAAGAAAACCTCCTTCCAAACTAAGACGGAATTAAGAATTTTCCAAAATTTCGCACAATTCTTAAATTTTAAGAGAACACTCTTAAGGCTAAGATCTCGTAGAATTTCTCAGCTTTGGGTTTCGCCCATTCCCTCATCAACTGGTGCGATTTCACAGAGTGTAGCTCATTGTAAAGAAATTGTAGAATTAGAGCAATCTACAGGCTCCTCCTCCTCACTCGATGGTGAAGTGCTGTTCGTCTAGTCTCTAGTAAGGAGACTGTTTTTACTTGTGGAGTAATGTAGTACCTTAGCCAGTGTCACTGTTATGAATAGTCTGGTGCTGATTCTGTCTCAGGGATGTTGCGATATACAATCTAAATGTAAAACGGGGCCTCTGTTTGTTATCCTGTCACTCGGGAGTACATACTGAAAATTTTAGCTGTAAGTAAATATGAATTGGAATAGACATTTGGATGGACACCAGGAAATGCTTCGTTGTACACCTTCCTCCCTTTCCCCCAGAGAAGTAAGCAGGGTCTCCTTCGGACTGAGCTGGCTCCAAGATGACATGTGTGGCCACAGATTGTTGTAATCAAGTCAACCCTCTGTGGTGGTCTCAGTAGTCTGGTTCCTGAGCCAGGCGGGTTGGAGTATTCCTATTCTCTGTTGATGACAGACCATCCAGCTTGACTCATAGACAGAGATTCATCCGATACAGCTCCTGTTAAGCAAGCCAAATGCCTCGCACATAAGGTGGTTCTAGCTGGACGAGCTGTGGGAAGCTTGCCAGGTAGCGATTTTAACCGATAAGAGTCCACATTCTCTCTGGCCAAGAATTAGGTGAGCAGGATGTATCCCTGCAGGGAGAGAGAGTGCATTTCATTTCCAATCACAGGGAAATTTCTATGCATGGGAACTGTACATATGTGTAACTCTCAGTTTTTTGGTTTACTCTTAAGTACCCCGTGTGTCAAACGTCCGACTGACCCCCCCAAAAAATATAGAGGTAAATCAACAGCTGAAAGAGGTGATTGAGGCCAGAACAATGGGATTTGTTAAAGAAACAGCTTGATAGTGTAATGGAAAGCTTGGTATTCCAGATGGATGGGATTAAATGGGCCAAAGAGCCGTTGTCACACCAACTTCTTTCTCATGCCTGCGGGACACCACCCCAGGGAGGGGGAACAGAGGGGAAATCAGGTGAGGCAACAACTTCCTTCTGTAAAGAACTTTCAAGAAGTGTTGGGAGACCTGACGGGACATTTGCCAGACAGCGATATCAATGGTGAACGATACAGTTTTAGCTGGTTTCACTCCAGCAGTTACCCCCCAAGCCACGGTTCTTGCCAGCTGGTACCCAATATGCGTACGAATCCCTCGTGCCTTCTCCAATCTGCTTACTCCCCACTCCATCACCTGCCGCCACTATGTTCAGCCACTGGTCCCTGGAACTCTCTGCCTCCAATCCCTTTGCCTAGCCCGATTCTTCCCTGTCTTCAGATCCCAGGCGCTATGTATAAAACGCAGCTTCTCCTTGTCACATTCTTGGGAATTTGGCGATCAAGTTTCGTGCCTCTGGGGGGGTGGTGGGGGAAAGAGCGCGCTTTGCACTCCAATACACGGGAATTTCCAGGTGTGGATCAGAAGCATTAGAACAATCCGTTTTGGGGGGAGGTTTCAAAGCTCAGAAGTATTTATTTGCATGTACAGTATATGTGTCAGGCTGACCAAAAACAAAATAAAAATCATCAGGTCGGAAGCTGGAACATTTCAAGGACTAATTTGGAGGATTCCCAATTAAATACCATTTCTCCCCCACTCCCCCACCACCACCTCAGTCGTGAGACGTGTGTGATTTTAAGCCAAAAGGGGGTGGGAGGGGGTACAACAGGATTAAAAAAAAAGAAAGAGAGTGAGAAGTCACTGGGGGTGGGATTACACTGAATAATCCCTCCAAAACAACAAAAGCAACAGTAAATCGGTCACTTCAATCCACGGCTGTTTGCGGGGACGCTGCTGTGCGCAAATCGGCTGCCGCGTTTCGCCCACAAACATACGGTCGATTCGCTTTGCAGCCTGTTCCGCGAGGCCCTTTGAGACGCAGAGAAGCCGCAAAAAAGCACCGTTTCAAAATGCCAGGATTATCATTATTATTCGTTTTAGTTTTTAAAAGTTGAGCTGTTTGAGCAAGCTAAGGGTTAAAATAGTGGTGGAAAACGAAACGAAAGTGCGTGATGTGAGAGTGGGCGATGTGCAAAAACACCAGCCCTTGGGGTGTGTGTGGTGTGTGTGTGTGTGGTCTCTTCCTTGGCTCCAGACGGAGGGGCGGAGGGGGTTTGGAGTGAGAGCGAGAGAGATAGAGGGGGACCGTTATTGATTAGATCATCGATTTGGGGAAAAAGGGGAAGAAAGAGAGAGAGAGCGGGGGGGGAAAAAAAAGGAAACAGGTAAATGCAAACAGGAGAAGGCGGAAGCCTGGATGTAATCGAGCGTTTCGATGAGGAAGGAGCTTGTTGCCTTGTATGGACCAGCAGGGACCATGGTTTGGGTGTGGATAGTGCACATACTGTGTCTAATCAGGGTAAGTAAATGTACCCAGCAAATGCATAGCTCACACAGACACAGACACACACACACAGACACAGACAGACACACACAGACAGACAGGGAGATAGCATTTGGGGATTGATGGATAGAGATAGAGAGAGAGAGAGATTTGGCTGCATTTTTTATTTTCTTTAAAAGAGTGAGAAACTTCCTTTTTATTGCCTCCAAACAACAGCCTGACATCAGATTGTGTGTTGTTTGGGTGTTTTTTTATTATTATTGTTATTATGGCTGTTGTTGAGGGAGGGCTTGTGTCTGCTGGATTGCTGCTATTATTTGTATCTGCTGTGATTATTACCCCCCACCCCCCATAAAAATGGCAATTGAAGCTTGGTAGGATGTGACCCCCCACCCCCTCGCCCAAACCAAACGCTGGCCTTGTGACAGTGCTGAAGCCATTTCCTTTCACTTTCAATTGTGAGACATCACTGAAGCTTGCCCCCCTCCTCCCCTCCCTTTCGCCTGTACCCCCCCCCCCAAGCCCCTTGCCCACTCGCTCACCCACTCTCGCTATCAAATGCATTCTCCCCCCCCCCCCCCCCCCCAAGTCTCATGCATTTAATGCAGAATCTTCTAGAGGTGCACTTACTTATACGACGCCTTTCGCGTCGGGAGGACGTCTTGAAGCAATGGCGATTATGAGGTTAATGTGAAAGGCGCTAAATCAAATGCAGTTATTATTGTTACTAATGCCAGATGTGGAACGCCGTATTGTTTGACTGCCGGTGCCGGTCCCCTTCACGTTAAGAACCTGCTAACAATAGCACACGGTTAGGTAGTCTATACGGCTCTGTCTGTACGCAGGGCAGCTTTGAAACTAATCTGGTCAATATCCTCCATTGTTGTGACTGTTGCCAGATGTATTAATTACACACAGATGTCTTCCTGGTGCTGTCTTGACACCAGGAAATCAAGATTGTGTTCCAGGAATTCACGTGAGATACTTGTGCTTGGCTGCGGAAGGTTATTTTTGCAGCATGCCCAGTTCCGGACTGGATAATCTATTGATCTTGAGAGTATGATTGTACTATAATCCTTACATTTGTTATAGTGCCCACAATCTTGAAATGCTTAAAGTGCTTCACAGCTAATCGCTCCTGAGTGTACTGATTGTGTATCTATACTAATAAAGATGAAATGTCTGTCTGTCTCTGTCTGTCCGCCAAGAACGCAATAACCGATTAACATAGAGACATGATTTATGCCTCATCGGAAAAGTCTTGCTTGGGGGAGCGTCTCCGTAACATCACCCGACTCCACCACCACCTCACCCCTCAGGCCACTGAAACTCTTGTTCATGCCTTTGTCAACTCCAGGCTTGACTATGCAAATACCCTGCTTGTTGGGCTTCCCAACTCCTCCCTCCACAGACTGCAGATAATCCAGAACTCTGGAGCCTATGACCTCTCCTGCATCAAGCTCCGTGACCCCATCTCCCCCATTCTCGCCCGACTCCATTGGTTCACTATCCTTTAGAGGATCCAGTTCAAAAATCCTGGTCCTCACCCACAAAGCCCACAATGGCCTCGCTCCACCTACCTCTGTGACCTCCTAACCTCCTACCAACCCGCCCGCTCCCTCCGCTCAGCCGGCTCTGGCCTGCTCCACACGTCCCTCGACCCACCCCCCCCCCCCACCCCATTATTGGCAGGAGAGCCTTCAGCCACTCTGCCCCCAACCTCTGGAACTCCATCCCCCAGTCACTCCTCCTCATCCCCTCCTTAAAGTCCCGCCTCAAAACCCTCCTCTTCGACCATGCCATTAGTCACCCTTCTTCCCCTCCCCTCCCTTCTCACCCCCCCCCCGACCCCAGCTCGGGTCTGAAATGCTGTACTATGTCCAGCGCCTTGGGACGTCCTAACGTGAAAGGCACTATACAAATGTAATCTTGTTGTTGTAGTCTTGGGCATCTTGGTGAGTGGTACTAATTGATGGGCTGAATGGCCTTTTTCTGTGGTGTCGAAGGACAGAAGTCCTGTGCTGTAAAGATAGTAATCCTAACCCAACTCTTTCTAACCCGTTTCTATCAAAAGAAAGCGATAGAAAAGAGACTAAAAGGGAAAAAGATGTGTGAAAGAGATAGTCGAGTGGGTGGGTAAGTTCATGTGGGCAATTTCAGTGACAAAGCTTAGTTACTGTTTCAGGCAGGGATAGAACTGGTTGTGATTTTGATGTGGTTTTTCTGGTGAGATGTTTGAAGTGTGGGAAATGAATTTGCTTATCTCAATAACTGGAGGCCTAAACTTCCACTTTATTCTCAGCCTGTAAGAGACCATCCTCGCTTACAATATTTTGTTTGTGGAGTCCTGTTGCGTGGTGGTTAGAGCGCTCGCCTCACAAGCGAAAGGACCCGGGTTCGATTCCCGGGTGGGGTGAAACCTTAGGCAAGTTTCCTTACTCTACACGCCTCTTTTAAACTTAACAAGAAGTAGAAACCTGGTTGTTTAGTCGATTGGCGGATTGCTTTGTGGGGGCTAATAATCCCTCCAATAAATAATATATTAAATAAATTATAAATAAATAATATCCAAAAAGTCGCTTTGAGACGTCTCAATGACCTGATAATGCACTAAATCAAATGCAAGGATTATTATTATAAGGATTCTTATATAATATTCCAGATCGGATGAAATTGTTGGGAGGGNAAAAAATCTTTCAATTCACTCTCTGTTTGAAAGCTGTTTTGAGATGTCCTCAAGATGTGAAAGACATTAAATTGTATTTAATTTTTATAGCGTCTTTCATGTAAACTGAAGGTCTTGTCGTTGTTGTCGTCTCAAGGCATTTGCTCCAATGAAATTGTTATATAAACAAAGGCATCTTATCTATGTTAGCAGCGCATCCACGCACCAGCTTATCGCAGACATCTTAAAAACCGTACAACCCACACTGTGTTATCAGCCCATCTAAGCCTGTTCAGGAGCAGGCCCTTGGTTGAGTTAAATTATGGGTTAAGCGTTGGGGAAAGAGTAAGAAAATTGGAGCTTATTCTTTTTGGAAAAGAGAGGTAACTGTTAACAACTCTGTCTGAAGCTGTTAAGATTATAAAGTGATTGAGAACGCCTTATCTGATAGAGTGCTCACACTATCAAAGGGTTCAGTTACCAGGAAACACAGGTTTAAATTGAGGTTGTGAGCGGAAAGGGAGGAAGGAAATGAATGATTGAGGGGAGAGTGAGAAGGTGGGTTACAAATCAAAGTCTAATGGTCCTTCCTGTTCCTAACTTGTTTCTGTACTTTATCCCCATGTGTTTTTGTGTGTGTGTGAGTGCAAACCCCTCCATCCCCACACACACTAAACCCGTGTGTGCTGAGACCCAGAACACATGCAACAACACATACTAAACACACACCCTGCAGACAAGCTCTCTAATGAAGGTGGGGATGTATGGAATTCTCAGTTTGGTTTAGATATTCTTAACCACGCACACATTAAACGCAATCAGCATGTGCTAAACATAATAATAATAATAATAATAATAATAATAATCGTCCTTGCATTTGATATAGCGCCTTATCATGTTGTTGAGAGGCCTTGAAGCGCTTCACAGGATATATTGTAAAATAGATTGACTGTGTATTTTGTGGGCAAAACGCGGCAACCAATTGAGCACAGCAGTGTCTCACAAACAGTCGTAGAGTTAGTGACCAATTTTATTTTTCGGGGATGGGGGTTTGTTGACCAGGATTATTACCCCTGGAAAGCAATCCGCCAATCAACTAACAACCGGGTTCCTACTTACTGCTAGGTAAATAGAGGCGTGTGGAGTAAGGAAACTTGCTCAAGGTTTCACCGTGCCCAGGAGTTGAACCTGGGTGCTCTTGCTTGCGAGGCAAGTGCTCTAAACACGATCCTAAGGGACTCTACATGCTGCACCCACACACAGTCTCTCCACACGAATACCACACACTTTGCTGCACACCTAGCACAGAGCTGGGCGTTGCCGGCTGTGACGGACTCACCTGTATCCTGTAGTTGCCTGGGGGACGGCAGGTATTCCACAGAAGTTGTGGTTACAGGGAAATGAATGGAGGCTCTTTTCTGATCTGATGTGTCGTAGCACGTCGGCAGTCAAGTATAGCAATGCTGGGTGTTATACCCTCTCTGGCACATCTCCAGAACCTGTTTTTTAGTCGATTGGTGGAAACTGAAACTTGGATGTTCAGCACCTTGGGACGTCCTCCTCTTGGCTGCCGACGTGCTACGACACATCAGATCAGAAAAGAGCCTCCATTCATTTCCCTGTAACCACAACTTCTGTGGAATACCTGCCGTCCCCCAGGCAACTGCAGGATACAATTGAGTCAGTCACAGCCGGCAACGCCCAGCTCTGTGCTAGGTGTGCAGCAAAGTGTGTGGTATTCGTGTGGAGAGACTGTGTGTGGGCGCAGCATGTAGAGTTATGCACATGTAATTTGTTGTTGTATTCAAATCCTTTCCCTCACCTGACTTACTCTGATCCCTCAGCCACCTCTCTCTTCCATTTCTCACCCAGGCCTAACCTAAAGGTGTGTCTCAATGCACACAATCACAAGATCGATTTGGGTGAACGAGTCCCTTCAGCCCATCCCATCTCATCGCTCCAGATCACCCACCTTGCTGTCCCCCTCATCGTGGCATAAACCTGCTTTCTAAATGAGTCCAGTCCAGTGTTCCAGCTTCAACATCCTTCTTGGCAACCTCTTCCAGTGATTAATTCTCCTCTGGTTAGAGAAAAAATTCCTGGTGCCTGTCCTGAAATTGGCCTTTGCAACTCTTAACCTTGTTCCACTGGCTTGGGGCATCCTAAAGTATTGTTCGAGGTTTACTTTTTCAATCCCAATTAAGATGTTATACTACAACTACTAATAATAATTATTATCAATATTAAAATGTTATACTCCTCTACAAGGTCCCCTCTGAGACGATTGGAATCTTAAGGCAGTAAAACACAAAGGCCTCAAAGCAGAATCAATTTGCACCATAAATATGAGGTTGCACCATTGGAAGTCGCGCTTGTTCGGGGTTTACTTTTTCAATCCCAATTAATGTGGGATGGAGTTCCTAAGAGCGGAGGCAGAAAGGCTGAAGGCCCAAGCATTGATGGTTGGCCGGGGGAGTAAGTCACAGCTTGCTGAGCAGAGGGAGCGAACAGGTCAGTATGGAGATAGCAGGTCACAGGGGTAGGGAGGAGCAAGGCCAGGGAGGGCTTTGAAAGCAAGAACTCATTGCTGTAACACTACCTGTATTTTTTGTTGTTCTTGTTATGAACAACGATTAGATAAGCTTGGGCTCTTCAGACCTGTACTGCACTTCCAGCATAAACACAACTGTGCTACATATAAGGCATGTTATAACAGTGCAGCTTCTACACTGTCTCTAGGGTCTGGTTGCGGTGACCAGAACCGTGAGAGAAGCTGAGATGAAGATTTGATGTTTCTCGCTTTGATCGCCTTCACAATTGGAGTTAACCTTGACGGCTTCCTTTAGAAACAGGCTCTTGGTGAAGACAAAGGACAGAAGCCCCCTGGCACTCATTAAAAAGAGCCCACGTTGGAGAGTGCCAGTGGCAAGCATTGTTCTGCTACTAAATCTGTGTCCGTTGCCATTGACAGCTTTACCACTGTGTCTCCTCCTCTGACTGCAACAATGAGACCGAGTACTACAGCAACGGGAAGTGCTGCTTCAAATGTGGGCCCGGTAAGTGAGGAAAGAGCTGATGTTCTTAGTCCCAACTCATCGCATCCAAAACGTCTTGAGTCTTCTAACGTTCTGCCATAAGGTGTGAGTGCAGTATGAAGTAATGTTGTGGAGTCACTGTGGCGTAGTGGTTCGGGCACTCGCCTTGCAAGCGAGAGGACGAGGATACAATCTCCACACATCACTGTTCACCTAGCAGTTCACCTAGGTCGTTAGTCGATTGGCGGATCATTTAACAATCCTTTCTAAATAAATAAATGATAATATTAATAATTTGATCACTCAATCTGCGACTGTTTGTGGGACAGTACTGTGCGTAATTGGCAGCCACATTTCGCCCACAAAATATGCAATCAATTCACTTTACAAGTGTACCTGTGAAGTGCTTTCAGGTGTTTCGAAGACGTGATAAAGCATTATATCAAATGCAAGGATTATTATAAGGTGTGACTATATTATGAATTAACTCTGGGTGTTTCTTTGTGCAGGGTCGTATATGGCAGCTGATTGTAAAGAAGCAAAGTATTCCAGTTGTCATCCTTGTTTGCATGGGTTTTACCAGGACGCGTGGACGAGAGAGGGTCACTGCCGAGCTCACTCTTCTTGCCCTGAAGGTGGGCACTTTGGTTTCAGACACCAGGAAGTATCTCTATACATATAGGGTCACAGCAGCACCACAGAGGTTTGGATGAGGAAAGCGTTTCAACTCATTTGATCTCTAACACAGGAAACTTCCATTACAGCATCAAGCTGTTTATTTCCTATTAGACGTTGAGCTGTTAACATGTCACCTCTGTGATTCCCCACCCCCTTCCCCAAACCCCTTGATTAAACTCCAGCCCATAACTCACTCCCGAGATCCATTGTTCTGTGTATAGTTAATATCACTCTTGTAAGGAAATTTGACTTAATGATTAAATAATGCACACAATTTGGATGTTAAACAATTGTTTCCTTTATTGTAGTTCCACAGTCAACGATTTTACAAAGAGCAAAGACCCATTACCTCAGTACCCGATAATGGGAGCAAGCAGGTTATCAGAGAACATAGGTATAGATCAGTATTACCTACCCTGGGATCACAGCGGATGGAGGAGGAGTCATCCAATCTGCGTCTCATTGATCTTGACTGAACTCTCTACCTTACACCTGATTGATTATTGGTTATTTTTGAAGCCCAATAATTTGGTTGAAAGGTTCTATGCACTACCCGTCCACAAAATATACAGTCAATTCACGTTACAGTATATTCTGTGAAGTGCTTTGAGTCATCTCAAAGACATGATAAGGCGCTATATCAATGTAAGGATTATTATATTATAAAGTTCATAGGTCAAATGCTGTAAGGCATGTTTACCAGCAGTGTTCAGACAGGAAGATGTCTAGTCAAAATAACATCTTCTCCTTATCAGAAGCCCATTTCTGTGAAACAAAGTCAAGGCCACAATGTTTTTCTGCATTTCTGCAGCAGTTAATATTTTAACTCCTCACCCTGTAGAGGAGCTCAGTCTCTGGCCTTAATCCCACCGTACACTGTTAACCACTGTCCTTATCATTTCAGGAGACTTTGAGAGAATCGAAGATGGCAACTTATTTCAGAACGTGAAGTGTCTGTGTGTGAAAGGGAAGCACTGCGCCAACAAGGATTGTGAGATCTGCATAACTGATACTTCCTGCCTCCCGGGTTCAGGAGTCACAACCCTGGGTAAGTGTGTTCTTCTGCCTTGGTCCTGCTCATCAGCCTGGCTCAGTGGTAGCTCCCTCACCTCTGAGTCAGAAGGTTGTGGTTTCAGGCCCCCGCGTCGGCATTTGAACTCACAGACTCTTAAGCTGATACTCCAAATCAGCATTGGGGTGGGGGGGGTTTGTTGCATTGTCAGAGGTGCCGTCCTTCGGATGAGACGTTAAAGTGCGGTCCCGCCTGTACAGGAGGACGTTAAAGATCCCGCGGCGCTATAGTTTCTCTCTCCCGATGACTGGGCCAACAATACACAGTGGATCCCCTTCAATGGACTAAAAGTGCAACAGTCTGTACTGTGACGAGGTTTGCCCGTCCCCAGCAGAGAAGAAGAGTTAGGCTGTTTGTGATTTCCGTGTTCCTTCCGGGGGTAATGCGGGTTTGTTTTTTAATCAGCGGATCGAAGGAACCTTGACTCCGTCTGCGAGAAGTGTCCGGCTGGTCATTACTCCAATGTGACCTCGTCCACAGAACCCTGTAAACAGTGGCTGAAGTAAGTTCGCAGACTGAGCTCGAGAGGCCTGAACTTTCCTGTAAACGCCAGCTGCCTGTGCGCTCGCTCTGGGTTCAAATCGCTCAGTTTCGTTCTTGGCTGTGGTTCGCAACCAAATTACTTGAGGGCGGAACAGCTCTGTGGCGAACCCTCAGATGCTCTCGAAGTGCATTTGAGACATTTCGGTGACGTGGTAAGGCACTGTGCCAAATGCAAGGCTTAGAGTTAGCTATTGCTATTATCGTCGTCGTCATTATTGTAGGGGAGGGGGGGGGAGGGAGAGAGAAAGGGAAAGTACAAACTTAAACCAAAAGTATAAACTTCTCACAAGAAGAGAGAGAAATTCTTGTGTCTGGGGTGGTCTGTAAGTGTGTGTGTGTGTGTGTCTCTGCTATTAGGACAAATGTAGTACTTTACTGCTACCTTGGTACTGACCTTGGTACTGCTGACCAGCAAGACCGTCTCAGTTTTGAACACCAGCGTCGATTAAAGCCATGGCACGATTAGCAGCGTTCAACGGCTCAGAGCATCTCCGTTGCAGCAAAAGCAAGAAATGAGGACAGGGGAGTGAGAGCCAGAGGTGGTACCTCAGTCATTAAGGATACTTTCCTTCCAAACCTGCGTGTCAGCCTGGCGTAGTGGTGGCACGCTTGCCTCCGAGTCAAAAGGTTGTGGATTCAAGCCCCACGTCGGGATTTGGAATCACAATCTCTAAGCTGGACCTCAAGCGATGCAGTGCTGGGGCGGGGGGTGGGTGGGGGCTGCTGTTGGAGGTTCCGTGCTTTGGATGAGATGTTCAACCGAGGAACAGGCAGACGTTACAAGATCCCGCAGCGCTATTCGAAAAGAGAAGAAAGTTTCTCTCTCCCAGTTTCCTGGCCAACAATCCACCGAATAAAACTGGTCACTCACTGCATAGCTGTTTGTGGGACAGCACTGTGTGCAATTGACTGCTACGTTTAGCCCACAAAATACACAAGGTTACGGTGTATCCTGTTAAGCGTTTTGAGACATCTCAAATGACGTGATAAGGCACTATATCAAATGCAAGTATTGTTATTATTGATAAACGTGTTAAGCTTATGTTTCTCTGATCTCTGCCTGTCCTCTTTACACTGGGATATATATTAAACAGTGAGATTAAGACTGAATAATGTTTTGCTTCCAGCTGCTCAGCCATGGGGCTGGTGGAGAACATACCTGGCAGCTCTGTCGCAGATGCGAAATGCCGTGAGTCTCGTGTTTGTTTCAAATTCCTCTCTTGTTTCCACTCCCGGCTTCAATCCTGTCCTGAACTCCCCCTCCTCGACATACATATCTACAGCATGTATGCATGTGCACAAATAATCATCCTCACACACACACACGTGTAGAAGGGTACGTTTTGCCTACAAATACACAGTCAGTTTACTTCTCAGTATATCTGTGAAGCGCTTTGAGACGTCTTGACGACGTGATAAGGCGCTACATCAAAATCAAGGATCATTATTATTTATTTTCTTGGGGGTGACGGGGATGGTTGGGAAGGTTCTTGAGGGTCGGGCAGTGCGGGGCGGAGGGGGGTGGGGAGGGTGTTGTCTCGGGACGGGAATGGGGTCCCTGGGCGATATGAGGGATGGGCTCGCTATCTGTCTGACCAAGTTAGAATGACGTGAGGAATCGTTAGTGTGAGCGATGTCTTTTGTTTGTTTTCAGGTGACCCATCGCAGGGCGGAGCAGAGTATCGAGCTGCCGTGGGTGTCCTGGCCGTGGTTGCGGTGTCTCTGCTTGTCCTGCTTATCCTGAGCCAGCTCGGTGAGTGCGAGAGCGAGAGCAACCCCACGGGCATCAGCAATGAACTGCCGCCTGGAACAGCCAGTAACGGACAGTGTGTGAGACGCTCCTTGAGTCACGGACCTGGTAGTGCGCTCACTGGAGGCGCAGATATTCCACGTATATTCATCACAATTTTAAAAAATAATAATAATAATAATAATTTGGTCACTCAATCCACGACTGTTTGCCGGACACTGCTGTGCACAATTGGCTTCTGTGTTCTGCCCACAAGTACACGGTCTTTGAGACGTCTCAAGGACTTGATGAGGCGCTATATCAAACTCAAGGACTATAATTATATTGCACCTCTCCGTGTGCTCTCTGGTGTCAGCCAAGGGTGTAGCCAGGAGTCTGTGATCTACTGTGAGCTACCGAGACATGTTAACACGTTGCCATAACTGCGGTGTGCTTCTCCATACAGGTTACCTGGGTAAAGGGGTGCAAGCCATTTGGAGCCAGGTCAGTAACCTGCCCCCTCGTTCTGTTCAGTAATGCACTGCTCACTGCAGTCGGGGCTTAGGCTCGGGCGCGTGATGTTTGTCTGATCTCGTAGCTCTCGTTAACATGCGAGTGGATGTGATCCAGGCTGCAGAATTGTGGGTATGAACCCTGTTCTGTGCCGAGCGTACAGTCAGTAACAGCCACTGAGTGACTGACTGAGCAGAGTTACTGACCCAGCGATGCGAGGCACCTGGAGCAACATCAGGAGACATGCAGCAGTAACACAGGCATTGATTACTGTAAAACCCAATGTGAATTAGGATTGATCAAACTCAGTGATGGCCAACCCGCTGGACTGTCAAGAAGCGCACTCCCTTCACCCCCCCCCACAACCTTCCCCACCCCCCACCCCCTCCCCGAAACATTCGCATGAGTCAAGGTAAATCCATGTATGATCGGTAGCTAGTGCCTTTTCAGTTTTTTTCTTGATTGATTTAGGGCTTAAATCGAGAATATATTTCATCAAGAAAATTTAGCCTGTTGGCCGTAAAGACTGTGGAGTCCTATAGTATAGTGGTTAGCACTCGCCTCGCAAGCGATGAGTGAGGCGAAACCTTAGGAGAGTTTCCTTTCTCCACACGCCTTTGGTTACCTGACAGTAATTAGGAATCTGGTTGTTTGTCGATTGGCGGATCGCATTCCCGGGTAATAATCCCTCCCCACAAACCCACCCCCAAAAAAAAATGTTGTGCGCAATTGGCTGCTGCTTTTTGCCCACAAAGTACACAGTCACTCCACTTTGCAATATATTGTGTGAAGCGCTTTGAGACGTCTCTACGTCCTGATAAGGCACTATATCAAATAATAGTAATAATAATCCTTGCATTTGATATAGTGCTTTTCACATCGAGAGGACGTCCCAAAGCACTTCACAGAATATACTGTGAAGTGAATTGACTGTATATTTGTGGGCAAACGCGGCAGCCAATTGCGCACAGCAATGTCCCACAAACAGTCGTAGATTGAAAATGACCAATTTATTATTGTTTTGTTTTGGAGGGATTATTATTAGGCTCTGTGTGGAGTAAGGAAACTTGCCCAAGGTTTCGCCCTCTGCCTGGAATTGAACTCAGGTCTCTCACTTGCAAAGCGAGTGCTCTAACCACTGAGCTACAGGACTCCACAAATGCAAGGGTTATAGTTTATAAAGGTTGGTCACCACTGATCTGACTGGCAGCTGAGGGTTGTGCCTTTGTGTGATCTTAGTGTCTGACAAAACCTCAGCCAGAGGATCGGGAACAGGAGAACGGCGTCCAGGAATCCTGCCTGATAACTTGCGATGAAAGCACTGACCCGGTGCAGGAGGTGGGGAAAGACAGTCATTGCTCCGAGGAGGAACACCTGCCTACTACATGCTATCCGGTGGAGCGGTAACTCTGAGGGAGGAGGAGGGAAAACTGACTGATCAGCACCTGATGCCAATGTGGCTAACGCAGGGAGCTATTGTGTTTGAGCAGCCACTCCTGTCCCTGTTAGGATAATTGTATTGCAACTGAAGTGACACAGTACCTTATCACAATGAGCTCCTGTATTTCAAAGTGCTTCACGTGGTGAGTTACCGAGAAGAGTGTTGATTCACTTAGGCAACTGTGCAGGAGCGCTGGGCCGGTCGTACAGCTATCACACCCGTTTTCTTTTTCATAAAAACAATTGTGTTTTCATGTGTAAAGAAAGCAAGGTATTGAGGAAAAGTATTCTTCCTGCAGTTGATCTCTCCACAAGCGAGTGAGTTGCAAAGAGTACTCTCATAATTGGCCAAACAGAGTAATAGGCGAATGAAAAACATGTTATTAATAATAAATAATAGAATCCCATATGAAACAAACATCGTTCCTATAATCATCGGTGCAACTGGGACTGTTAATAAGACTATTCAAAAAAACGGCTCGACAAAATACCTGGTGAACAAGATATCAACCTCCTGCAAAAAGTACAGTAACTATTTTAGGAAATTCAAATGTGTTAAGAAAAGTAATATGTAATGTAGCAATGTTATATATCTGGCTGACGCATCACTGAAAATCATTAAGAAATTACCTTAAAAGAGTCATTTAAACAGTAATAACTTAATGATGATAATAATAATTGTATTTTGTGTCTTCCCGGGGTGCGGTGAAACCTTAGGCAGTTTCCTTGCTCCATATGCCTCAGCTTCCCTTGCAGTAAGAAGAAATCTGGTTGTTGGTCAATTGGCAGATCCCTTTCCAGGGATAATTAATCGTTCAAAAAATATAAAATTAAAAAGAAAAAATAATAATTTGATCACTCAATCCACGATTGTTTGTGGAACATTGCTGTTCACAAATGGCTGCTGTGTTTCCTTCATAAAAATAGTCAATTCACTTTACAATATTTTGTGAAGTGCTTTGAGACATCTCTGCTACATGATAAAGCACTATATTAAATGTAAGAATTATTATTATAATGGCTGGTGAAGTGTAACAGCCACAGTGTGCAAAGCTTTACCTGACTGGGTGACCCAACCTAAACCATGATTCAGAATTACATCCATAGGTATTCAATCCTGAGTGAATGCAATAAATACATGTTTTATTCCGTGCAAATAATGAATCCAGTGTTTGAGAACCTAAATCATTAGATGGCTCAGCCTCAGTGATTAATCCTGTAACTGGAATAATCAATCGCTGACGTCCAGGTAGATGGTGATAAATATTCCGCTCAGGGCACAGAGAAATGGACCGTTCCTCCCAATCAATCAACTCATCCCATTCATCCCAAGCACTTCCCTCCAGTTCATTCTTCCTGGCTGAGGCTTTGCTTGATGTGTTTCCAGATTATCCTGTTTGATGGTTCTCCCTCGGCTCTTCTTTCTCTTAAAATCTTGTGAATTCCCTTCGTGTAGTGGTTAGTGCGACAGCCTCACAAGCAAGAGGACCGGGCAGGGCGAAATCTTTGGCAAGTTTCCTTGCTCCACACGCCTGTTCGCCTTGCAGTAAGAAGGAATCCTGTTGTGAGTTGTTTAGCGGATTGCCTTAAGGAATAAAAGCACCTCCAACAAAAAAAATATTTGGTCACTGAATCCACGATTCTTCGTGTGCCCACAAAATAGACAGTTAATTCACTTTACAGTATACTCTATGAACCGCTTTTGAGACGTCTCAATGGCGTGGCTGGGAACTATATTAAATGCAAGGATTATATTATTATTACACATCTCCCTATTATATATCTCCCGTGATATCTATGTCCCCTTTGATCAGGAGGGCGAGGGAGAAAATTTGACGGAGTCAAAGTAAGAGTTAAAATGTATTTTGCTTTTAAATTCAGTGAAAGGGACACGTCAGGCGATGGATGTTTGGGTTGTGGTGAATGACCCACCAGGTGGCACCATTGCCTCATGAACCAGACAATGAGCCGCTCCTGAGACAGTCAGAGAGAAGTACATTTCACATGGAGCCTGAAATAATAATAATAATAATAATTATAATAATAATAATAATCCTTGCATTTGATGTAGCGCCCCATCATGTCTTCGAGACGTCTCAAAGCGCTTCACAGAATATACTGTAGAGTGAATTGACGATCTGTTTTGAGGGCGAAACGGTGAAACGCCTTTGATCATCCCAGTCTGGTGCTGAGAAGGGGCTGATCTCTACCTTGTGGGAGGTGCCATCCTTGGGATGAGATGTTAAACTGACCTGTCTGCCTGGTCAGCTCGATGTTAAAGATCACGTGACGCTAATAAATATGAGCAATGAAAAGGACCTGGGGGTCCTGATTGGCAATAAATTGAAGCTCTCCCAACAATGCTCGATGGCAGTGAGTAAACCAAACCAGATGTTGTGATGTATCAAAAGATCAATAGCACGAGAAAATAGTGGGGAAATCCTGCCACTGTATAACTCATTGGTGAGACCATACTTAGATACTGTGTACCATTCTGGTCGCCGCAGTACATAACGGGAAATTGGAGAAATCGAGAAGGTACAGAGGAGGGCAACCAAAATGATTGAGGGAATGGAAGCACTGGATATGAGGAGCGACTAAGTAAATTGGGAATGTTCACGCTGGAAAAGAGAAGATTGAGAGGCGATATGATTGCTGTCTTTAAGATTCTAAAGAGGCAAGACAATATAGATCATGACAGGCTGTTTTAACTCATCCAGAATAGTAAAACCAGAGCACACGGCCTGCGAGTGAATGGGGGTAAATTCAGAGCAAATCTACTCAAACACGACTTCAGTGAGCGAATAGTGAACCTGTGGAACAGGCTCCCTGGGGAGACGCTTGAAGCAGGAAGTGTTGATTCTTTCAAACGCAGATTAGATAGTTTCCTTTTAGGAAATAACATTATGGGATATAGTACAAAGGTAGTTTGGGACATATGTGCATGCGACGGCCAGGAAGGTGGAAGGCGAGCGAGATGGACCGCGGGCTTTTTTCATCTAGCATTTCTTATGTTCTTATGCTGTTTAAACAAGTGAAGGGAGTTCCTTGTGTTGACCCTGGCTTCACTGGCTCCCCAATCCCCTCCTACATCCCGGTGCCTGCTCCACATCCCCTGCCTTGCCCGCCCCACAGTCCCTCCGCCTCGCCCCCTCCCTTGGCTCACCCGTCTGAAGATCTTCTGCTTTGACCACCCCTTTGGTCACCCCCCTCGCCCTCCACGGCCCCTGATCCCAACTCCCATCTCGGGTCCAAATCCTTGACTTTCCAGTGCCTTGGGATGTGCTCCCGATGAGAAAGCCTCTGTGCAAATGTAATTTGTTGTTTTTGTTGCATTACCACATGTATGATATGACACGTGAAGGGAGTTGAACCTGGGGTGAAGCCAGCCTGCTCCGTGCTCGCTGGCTCTGCTCTGTGTTTCTGTTGAATATTAATGATCCTTCGAGATCCCTGGGGCTGGCTGCTCAGAGAGGCCATTGACTCTGCCCCTGCCTTAAACCGAGAGCTGAGAACAGAGGCAGCATTGGCTGATGCTGAGACATATTTCTGCGCTGACATTTAGCCATTCAGCGCCCTCCACAATGGGAACAATATCCCCACTCATTGATGCTCACCTTCCATCTGCTTTTCAACGAACGGTGTTTAAACTTTCATTGGATACTCAATGTGTAATTGAACCAGGAGCGAAAACCACAGACAGAGAGAGAGAGAGAGAGAGAAGGCAAATTCAACCATCAGTCGGTCGGCTTCAGTGGCTTTAATGGCAGGATTATTATTTAATTTTTATTATTATTATTAGTTGCGATAATTTATCACCAGTCCAAAATTCTACTGAAATCAAACACGAGTTTCAACAAACCAATTAATCTGTCTCTACACAGCTCCACAGTGAACTAAAATTGCAACCACAATTGACAAGGATTTGAGGCTCACGTTACGAGGAAGAAAATGCAAATGGAGCTCCAATATTTCCTTTTTACTCTCAATCACCCAGCACGTTAGTTATTTTTAATCTGTTCTGTTGCCTGACGGAGTGTTTGGTCCATAGCTCCCGAACTCATAAGTAATAATAATAGTAATAGTGAACAGTTCTTGCATTTGATATAGTATAAATGAAGAGGGGAAAAAAAAGGCAGGGAATAAAATAGGGGGCAACTGGTCTGTGGTAAGAATGTTTTACTCACAGCTGAGTAACTCGTCTCTCTGAAAATTGTTAGGTATTTGTTTCCAGGATATTGTCGAAGGATGTCGGTGACTGTGTTGGATGGGATGATGGGATGTGAATGGATGTTGGCAACAATCTTATCAAAGGCGAGAAACACGATAACGGCCATTATCAGCTCAAACACTGTTAGTTGTGCAGTGTAGCCCGAAGCACACATTCACTTAGGAATATTAGCATTTGAGGTAAAGAGCATTGGTGCATTGAAGGTATTGAGTATTGGGGTCAGCCTGGCTCAGTCAGTTGCGCTGCAAGATTGTGGGTTCAAGCCCAACACCTTTGGGCCTTTGTGGAGTCCTGTAGCGTATTGGTTAGAGCACTCGCCTTCCAAGCAAGAGGAGACCTGGATTTGATTCCTGGGCAGGACGAAACGTTAGGCAAGTTTCCTTACTCCACATGCCTACGTTTACCTAGCCGTAAGTAGGAATGTGGTTGTTAGACAACTGGCGGATTGCTTTTATTGGCTAATAATCCCTTAAAAAATAATAATAATTTGGTCACTCAATCCATGACTGTTTGTGGGACACTGCTGTGCGCAATTGGCCACAATATACCCAGTCAGTCCACGTTATAATATATTCCGTGAAGCAATTTGAGTCTCCTCAATGACGTGATAAGGCTGTATATTAAATGCATGGATTATTATTTCATTATAAATGTCCTTGGTAAAGAGAGGAGGGGGAGAGGTGAGGAGTGAAGTGGGCGTGGGGCGGGGAGAAATCGGAGAGAGGGAGCATGGCAGTGGAAATCATTTAAAAACAATTCTCCTCTAGTGTCCTTGGGTTGACGGTAATATTGACAGTCCAGGGCAGGGAACAAGCAGCAACTAGGATGCCTTGAAGCAGCTCATCAGTGCTAAGCTTTCTCCTGCCGCTCGCTTACAGTTATGTGTTGCTCCCTGTCATATCCAATCATTGGCATTCCTGTCCCGCTGCGTTTATTAGTTTCAGAACACTTTGAACCATCTCCAGAATAATAAGGAACCAAATTCCCTCCCTCCGCCCCCCCCCCCCCCCCCCCCCCACACACACACTTACACACACTCCTCTGCCCTAAGCTGCTTCAATTAAAGCATTCCAATAAACTGCTCAGCAGAGAGACAGCAGAAACCAGAGCTGTCACTCCTTGTGACTCATCCAATTTTCTAATGAAACTGTTTTGCCACTTGCGCTATCCGTTAGCATCCATCATTATGATGAGCTGTTGGTAGCAAATCCATTGCAACAAGATAAATTATAGCTGACTCGTTATTTCACTGCGTTTTTTTTTAAAACAATGCTTTAAGTAAGTTATCGGGATCTGACACTGTTGAGAATTCACTGTTATCTCTGTCTGTGAAGTGCACTTACACTTTTCGTGTCTCGCAAACGCCCCAAAATAGTTTAGTGTCAGCCTGGCTCGGAGGTAGGCACTCTCGCTTCTGAGTCAGAAGGTTGTGGATTCAAGATCCACGTCGGGACTTTGAAGTTCAGCTCAGAAGGAGGCCATTCGGCCCATCGTCTGTGTGGGATCTTTGAAAAGAGCTCTCCAAATCAATCCCACTCCCCCGCGCTCTCCCCACAGGCCTGCAAACGTGTCCTCCCCAAATAATTATCTACTTC